ACTTGAACATACATCTATGACGTACAAATTCATAATCATGATGACATCTGCATGATAGAGAAATTTGCATTTTATATTATTCCTAAAATTCTTAATCTAAATATGGTATTATGAAATTCCACTGGTAAGTTGTTTTTGCATAAAATATTTTCTTGAGTTAGGTACCAAAAGACGACTCTCTTTTTTGGATATACAGGGACTTTTTGTCTTTTGAATGGTGCTTCGTACCCAACAGTGATACATAAGTAAATTCCAGTTTGCCTAGGGTAAAGCAAACGGAAATCCAAACTTGCTATTTGTGGACACTGGGGACACGCCCCACAACTAAAATAGGGCGAAACTCTATATATGAATGTGTGTGTATTTCTATTAGCTGTGACCTTAACACTTGCCCCGAACATGAAGAATTATCTAAGTGTGTAGCACATATCTGCTTTTCTGGCTGAAAGCAGTGACTAGATGTGTATGAGAAGCTTTGTCTACTTGTGTGGTCCTAGGATTGACGCTTCCTGCTGACCTTGAAGAAACCACCCCACTAAAATCACGGCTGCAGTCAGCTGCTGAGCAGGAGCTGTAATGAAGCCACCTCCTGTAGCCCCCATTACTGCGCGAACATAGTCCTAGGAAACTATGTTGTTGCTATTTTAAAGATGTACTACATTTCCTATGCCATTTAGGCTTTTTTTTTTTTTTTAAGCATTATACAACAGCCTCATTTTCTAAGTATTTTGTTTAAAATCAAGTAATTATAATTTTGAGGTCAGACATTATTTTGCCGGGCTTAAGGGAAACAAAATTCCAAGAAAGTTATGGTGTGTATGTCTTCAAGTTTAAAAAGATAAAACTGTTGGTGAAATCATTATAATTAAGGTAAGGCATGCTAATGAAATTATTTCTTTATATTTTTAAAATTAAATGTTATTCTACAGTATAGAATTCTCTGAAATGGGTATTTCTACCAAGAATGAAGGGAAAATTTTTGTGGCTGTTTTTCTTTGTAAAACAAATAAACAAGTGCATGTATACATTTTATTTAGTATTTATTTTTAAATACAAATGCTCTAAACTAATATTATATATAATAAAAGTTTAGAAATTATAAAAAATCCAGTAATACAAAATTATCATGGGTGCTTAAATCACGTGAAAAAGTCAAAAAGCCATTAGTTAAACATTCTTTATATCTCAGAAAAATATCTTTAATATTCATTGCTATAAAACAATTCTACGAAGGTTGAGTTGTGCAGAAGAGACACAACGCACACGGTTAGCGCTACAAATGCAGCATTGCATGAAATACTTTAAGTGCTGATACATTCCAGATTTTGCCTAAAATGTACTTTGGACTTTTAGAGATGGCTATTAAGTGCCTGACATTATTTGTGATGAATAATTCAGATGATTTACAAAAAATTAGTGTTTTCATTTCTGAAATATGGAATTAAAAACTCTTCATTTTTCCCATAAACTTCTTGGATTTTTGTCTATTGCAAAAAAAACCTCTCAAAGCCATGTGAATAAAGAGAAGAAATCTTTACATTCTGAGATGGCAAGAAGACCACTTTATTCAAATCCTGTTTGTTGTGACTATGGCTTCTTAAGGTACTCAATGCACTGCTCAATGCTGAGCACATCTAGACCTCATGAAATCTGAGCTACATCAGATATGTAAATTTACTTTATAGTTAATGAGGAAGAAAGGAAATGTCATTGACTGGAAGGACATTAGACTGTATACTCTCCAGCGATATACTAGTATCTATAGAATGTTATTATTTTTAAAGTCTAATTTTTTCAGTTATCTTCCCTCTTCTTATATATACTAAAAAATACATATAAAAACCCAGTCATTGGGGCTGGCCCCGTGGCCGAGTGGTTAGGTTCGCGCGCTCCGCTGCAGGCAGCCCAGTGTTTCGTTGGTTCGAATTCCTGGGCGCGGACATGGCACTGCTCATCAAACCACGCTGAGGCAGCGTCCCACATGCCACAACTGGAAGAACCCACAACGGAGAATATACAACTGTGTACCGGGGGGCTTTGGGGAGAAAAAGGAAATAATAAAATCTTAAAAAAAAAAAAAAAACAAAAAAAAAAACCCCAGTCATTACATTCTCTGTGATGTACAAAATTATTCCAATATAACAAATCTTCACTCCAGGGCTGCTGGAGTTGAAGCCGAGCCTCTGCAGGCCAGCTGCTGCTGTCATGACATCACCCTCTAGAGACAGGCAAGAGTGCTTTAGATTTTAGGGAGAACAAGTCACACTCCAGCATACACTGGAATGAGATGTTCCTGTTCAAAAATCTAGGGGATGTATTCTTAGGAAATTAAATAAAGCTTATCTTACTTAAAAAAACAATATTATGCTATAGAAATGTATTTATAGCTTTCTCTAGTTGCTTATATAATTTTTGTAATTACTGCATTAATAAAATTTCTGTAAAATGATATATTTTCTATATAACCTATGGCTATCACAATATAATTTATAATCTCAGTTACTAATAAACAGTAGCACCACATCCGTGTTAAGAGACAGAATTACCTAACCTTTGAATATTAGATGCCTGCTATTTTATCTCATTAATTATCATCTGTTTTATAGGTCAGCCCTGGTAGTCTAGTGGTTAAGATCTGGCGCTCTCACCACTACAATCCAGGTTTATTTCCTCGTCAGGGAACCACACAACCCGTCTGTCGGTTGTCACACTGTGGTGGCTGAGGGTTGCTGTGATATTGAAAGCTGTGCCACCAAGATTTCAAATACCAGCAGGGTCACCCATGGTGGACAGGTTTCAGCAGAGATTCCAGAATAGAGAGACTAGGAAGAAGGACCTGGCCACCCACTTCCAAACACACTGACCATGAAAACCCTGTGAGTGGCAGCAGTGGAGCAGCATCTGAAACGGCACCAGACGGTGAGAGGACGGTGCAGAAAGACTGGGCAAGGCTGCGTTCCGCTGCCCACAGGGTTGGTCCCCACGAGTCGGAATCGGCTCAAAGGCACTAACAGCGACGTTTACAGTGGAGGGAACCAGGATCACACAGCTAATACGTGGAAGGACTGGAGTTCAAAACCAGGTCTTCTGACTTTAAGCCAGTGTTCCTTTTTTTTGAAAGTAACTAAAATCTATGATTAATAATCTAAAAGCACAATATGCAAAACAGAAAAGTGATACTGACCAAATTTCTACTAAAATGGGATTTGACTTACCATTCTAAAAGTTTACCTGTTGGCTTATTTACTTATCTGTCTATTCATTCATTGAGCCCATAAATATTCACTGAGAGCTGCAGCGGGAATACCAGTGTGCAAGACAAGATCCCTGCCCTCACATAACTTATATTCTAGCGTGAAAGACGAACTATACACAACAAAACAAAATAGATGATAAATACTACTAATACAGAGTGGCCACTTTCATCACATGCTCAGTCAAAAAGCCTTGGAGCTCACTTAACGACATGGGAAAACCATGCTCTAAGAGCTCCTTGAAGACAAACTCTAATGCCAAATACACCTCTAGAAAATATCAAACTGAGTCACATACTACTAGATGTACACATACTTACACAGATGTGTGGACTCTAAATACTTGTACGTACACACAATCTACAACAAGAGCCCCGACCAATGAAAACACTACTAAACAACTCTTCTGAAGCACCAGACACTACAATAATTGCTTCTCCCCTCAACTCGGTGCAGCACATATGTTGACGGTGACAGGAGGACATTTTCCCGCTCGAGGGCCAGTGTGCCAGCCACGTGCGTCGCTGCTTGAATGTCCGGTAGGTGCTGAGGCCACATGAACTGTCAGAGCTGTGGAGCTGAGCCAGTGTCAGGTCACTTTGTCCAGTTTAGTCCAAACTGGCCCTGAACTATACACAAATAATGATGGATTTGTTTTTCTTTCTTTTGGCCTTTTGACCCTAAAGGAGATTTGGAGTTAATGCCAAATTGATGTTTAATCAACAGAAATCTCTGTTTCTCAAAACAAAAACATTTGCAGGTAGATTTTAAACATGTAAATAGATGCTTACTCCACTTTGTAAGTAATGAAAGGTAATAACAGAGATAATCTTGAATTCTAATTTACTATAAATAATTTAGGGCCATTATTTAACAGAGCAGTTTAAAAGAATATTTCTTCTTAGAAAAAGGTCAAGCTTAATTTAAAAAGCTTTATCTTGGGGCCGGCCCTGTGGCTGGGTGGTTGGGTTTACAAGCTCCACTTCTGCAGCCCAAGATTTCGCCGGGTCGGATCCTGGGTGCGCACACGGCACCACTTGTCGGGCCATGCTGAGGCGGCATCCCACATGCCACAATTAGAGGGACCCACAACTATAAATGTGCAACTGTGTACCAGGGGTCTTCGGGGAGAAAAAAGAAAAAAAATAAAATCTTTAAAAAAAGCTTTATCTTCACAGAAATCACTTACCAATGTATTTTAGAATAATGATGTTAGAAAAACCTAGGGAGAAAGGGAAGAGTCTGAGCTTGGAGGCTCACAGCCAAGATTCAGCGACTCTTCTCAGCTGAAGGAACAAGGCCGCTCAGTCTAGCAAGAGTGGGAATTTGCCGGACTGGCAGTTTCTGGATGAAATGAGGTATTGAGGAAGTACAGCGCGGCTGCTGCATTTTCTATGAGAAATAAACTGCTCCTCTGATCCAGAACGCTTTGCGTCTTCCTGAGAAAATGCATGTAAAACAAGGGCAGGCGAATGTCTTGGCTTGCAGATAAGGCAACAACTCACACTCTTCACACTCTATCTAGACACACATACTTCAAAGCAATTTCAAGAATTAATCATTATATAGGAGCTTCTTCTATACAAAGTTAACTAAAATGACGTAAAATGTTATAACATTTCTGGGCAGTAAAAATGTTTTATTCATGGTTTAGGAAGAAGCTATCAGTATGTAAACAAGTCAAAAATTATCTATCCACGAAGACTCTTGGAATGGGGGTTTTTCTCAAGAATTCTCAGGAGTGTGTCTAACCAGGATGAATCAAAATCCAACATTTATTAAATATGAAGTGCATACGTTACACTGGCAATGTGAGAAAAGTGCTGCGTTAAAAGGGCACGAGAGCTCACAATCTACCGGAAGAGATGAATCCCTAAATAATTGGCACAGGTGCTAAGAAAGGCAAACATACATACAGGGGTGTGAAAAAGGGGAGACGAAATATTTTGGGGGAGAGGGAGAATCAACGGAAACGAGGCTGGGGACAGACACCGAATATCTAGAATGTTGGAGGGAAAGCAGAAAGCCTCGTGCTGGGTCATCCCGCCACCTTGTAAGGCACCTTATTCAGCAGGATCAATTCTTGGGCTTTGCTAAAAGCGGAACTATTCTTTTTTTTAAATTCATATATGCTACCAGTCTTCTGGGATTCTGGAAGTTCTCATCAAGAATTAGTCATTCTAATTATTGTTTTCACTCACAGTATGGAAATTGTTATAATAAAAATAAACAGATTTAAAATACCAAAGATTTCCAAGTTTTGCTAAATAATATTTAGTATTTTAAGGTAAGAAATAATAGAAATTTCACTAGGAAGATTTTATTAAATTATAGCGTATTATGGTTAAGGTCCCAACAATAAGATTTTAATCTTTAGGGTAATGTGATCTAAACACCTACTTGGCCACATTACTTCTTGAGTTTCTTCTGCGCGGCTTTCTTCTTGACCATCTGTAACCGCTTCATGGCATTGAGCTGTGATTCCTGGGAAGTGGGACCTTTAAGGGACGTGGAGGGAGAGCTGCTCGGTTCCGCGGTGGTTTTGCCGGCGGTACTTCCGCTAGGCCCTGATGTCCCGCTATTCCCATTCCCACTTAGTTGGCTGCTACTTCCTGGAACTAAGGTACTTGGACTAGGAAGACCTACTTTGCTGACATTGTCACAACTAACTGAGCGACTAAGGCTGGTTTTGCCCAAAGTCAGAGGCGGAGGGGGCTTCAGGGGCACGGTGGGTGTGGTGCTGCTGCTGGAACCTACTTTGGAACCTATTCCGCCTTTGGAGGAGCTGGCCAGACCAGTCAGACCCACAGGCTTCTGGTTAGCTGACGAGGCCGCAGGTTTCCCGCTGCTGTTCTGGGTCGCTAGACTCAGTTTTGCTGCTGATGGACCCCCAGAAGTGGTTTTGGCTGCAAAAGCTGCCCATCCAGTGAGGCCACTAGTTACTGAAGAAGAAACACTGGTAGTGGAAGAATTTCCTGAAATAACTGTGGATGGCTGAAAAGAACAAGATAATACTGTATTAGAGCCAAGTATAATTAATACCTAATGCAATATTATTAAATATATAACACGTTTAGTTGTTGGACTTTTTATACAAAAGTAAAGACTCGGGAAATTTAAATCACACCATCAAAATTAAGTTCTTATGAAATTCTGAAAAAAACACAACAAAACTTATCCATAGCTAATGGGTACTACCGTTTCCAAAAAAGAAATTTTAGAGGACATATTCTTGTTCTAATGATTCCAAAAAATACATATACAAAATTCCTTTTTAAGAATTGCTTTTGGATTCAGTTACAAGCCATATCACAAAATCAGACGTAACGTTTTAATTTGTTTTTCACCCAAAGGTATTATCTAGCTCAGTACAACATCTAATTCTTTAGACTTTGCTCCAAACAACTTGTGGACCACTTCAAAAATGGGCCACAACTAGAAGGACCACAACGAAGAATACACAACTATGGACCGGGGGACTTTGGGGAGAAAAAGGAAAAAGTAAAATCTTCAAACAAAAAAAAAGGAATCTACTCTTAATGGACAAAAATGGTTGCATCCAGGATATTTAGGAGACGTCTGAGATAAAGAGATTCACTTAATTATTTATTGAGTGAATGTATGAGATTCTGAACCCATTTTTTTGAAGTTCTCCCCAGATTTTGAGCAAATAGCTACTGTACTGCAAAACATGTACAGATGTGCAATGTTGACTATTTGGAATTGTACAACTCTGGAGATGCATTAAAAGGTCTCATGACTTTATTTCCACACTGTGTCTGTTTCCATCAAAATTATCACCCGAGAGGGCCCTGCGTCTGTACAAAGGATGTATCAGCTGCCCCACAAGCCGCACGGCGATGTGTGGGCAGGTCTAACTCACTCCCAGACGTATTTCTTAAAGGTTTAACACTTCAGTTTCTCTAATTAACTTCCTTGGCCAGTCCAAAGCTAACAGCAACACCCATGCTGCTATATAAATAATATTTCTCTTAGTCATATGAGAACAATTTTTTTTCTAACCTTCTCATTAGGCAAAAATGTACTTTGTTCAAGTTAATTATGAACCGAACTTCTCACTGGCACTCTTTATACCTTCATATTCTTGAGATTTACAAAAGTGTTAAATTCATACATAGGTAAAAGAAAAAGTCTTACGAATAGTATTTTACTTAAAAATATGGCAGTTGTCACACCTAAAATATATCCAGTTATACTTCACAACTGAATTCTAAAAGAGTTGATAAAAATGTTTTTAGTTCTTACAATGTAGCCTTCAATACTACATACAGGTAAACATCTGTAACCAATGTGAAAAGTAATCAAAATAGAGCATGCTCTGAGATCTTTCTAAGAGGAGGAGTCAAGATTTTTGTTCACATACTCTGAAAAATGATAGGATTTTTTACAGTAGCCTCATAACAATAACTATCTCATAAGGTTATCTAGAGAAGATAAACTTTACATAAATAATAAATTCCTAGAGGAATGCATACAGGTAATGAGAAGAAGTCAAGGAAGCAAACGGACACAGGTGTGGTAAACTTTTAATTTTCAGTTACGAAAGATCTAGTTTTTTTCCTTTTCTTTCTATTAAACATAAAACTGTCTGCCATCTGGCTAAATGATTTTTCCACAAACTTCTCAGATGAAACTCCTCTGAAGTAACTAAAAAGGCCAGCACTCACGAAGCGCAGACGAGAAAGCAAGTTCTGTGAGTACGGCATTTCATTTCAATGGCCTGCTGTTACTGGTACCGCCTTTCAACAGAACGACAGGTGGCTCATCATATATTAGGACACACAAAAGTGAAATAACACAAACAAGGGAGATCAAGCAATTCCTTACTATTTCAGTGTAGAAGTAAATTTCTCAACTGTTTTTAACTATAAATATTTTCTTGCTCATTATCCCAGTTAGAAAGCCATTTGCTTTTTATATATGAATGAGGACAAATTTTTTTCATAGTAAAAATCTATTCACTTTTTCATAAAAACACCAAAACCTCTTAATCAGAACAAACATGACAGCCAAGGCCTTAATTTATTTGCCATAAAATTATTCCACGTTGGATTTCCTAAAAATAAACTTTAGTGTAATAGGTTAGTACAAAAATCTACCTAAAAGTGATTTAAGTATAGAATACAGCAACTCTAGTTACTTTCAATGAATTATTGTTACTCCTATTCCAACTCGCACAGCTTCTATATGACAAAACAATAATGGATATTCCTTGGGTATCAACTCTTGCCTGGTAAATCAAATTAAAAATGATCTGCAAATAAAATGACCAGACTCTTTCTCAGAGTACTTCATATTCATATCCTTTATCAGCACACCAAGGTTCTTGATCTTTGCTACTTACAGCCTCTTAGGGTACTATCTTTAGAATTTTCTGGGGTCAACCTTTGAGAATTTAGGGCTAGTATTTTTTTCTTCCATCTTTAGTACTCTGCTTAAAATTGGGATGTATAGCTCAGTAAAAGCATTCTTTTTGTTATAAAATTAGATAGAAAAATACTTCACGATATCAAATGCAAGGATGCTAATAATAATGTAGCGTGCTTTCAGGAGGCAAACCTAGGAGTGAGAAAGGTGACATTCTCACTAGATAATCTGGCTCCTTACTATCAGAGGCAGGTGCTATGAAGGCTCATGAGAATAAAAGGAAAAATAAGACAAAGCAAGAAAACTTGAGCAGCCAAACAGCAGGGAGAAAACAAGCTGTGGGGCCAATCAGCAGGAGTAATGTGAGACGAACCGTCACCACTGAGGGCAGAGGCCTCAGATCCACACCACAGCCCTGCGGGGGGGCAAGGGTCTGAGAAGCGTCGCTGTGGAACACGACAGACAGTTCCAAACTGTGATGAGAAGAGAAACAGCAGAGGTAGAGATTAAACAATCACGTGAGTGTCCCCTTTCTCCCAATGTCAACAGCAATGCAGCCTTGACTTCCAACATACAGCCGCTTAGCACAGAAAGTCTCTTACTGATTTTTTTCCGAAGTAACCATTGTTTGGTCAACTAAATTAAAATCCCACTTCAGATAAAATGGAATGTACTGTACCTTGACTTCCGTTCTCTTAAATGCTTGAAAAGTTGTCTCTTGTTTGAGTTTAGTTTCTGCTTTCTTAACCAATGGGTCTTTGACAGCTGGAACTACAGAAACAACGGTGGGGGCTGGTTTCTGGGGTGGTTTCTGAGTTTTTTGAGCCTGTAAAAATCAGTGTTAAGATTAAATTAGCTACAAAATCTTAGTTGAATGCACAGAAAAGAATAAAAGTCTATCACAGAACTCCTCATTGACTTGAAATACAGTTGAACATTTAAAAAATATTGTAATGACACTGAAAATACAGACTCTTGTACAAATGATTTTTATCATCATATTAATAGTTTTATAGATTTTATTAGTTTCTAAACAGTAAAGGTAATATGAAGCTTTAGAAATCATGCATATTAGGGTTGACTAAATACCATTTTAACAAGATAAACCAAACTATTTAAGAAAAAAAGGAAAATCACAAACTATTTGTAACCAGTCGGCAACACTCATAATGATGTGCATTTATTTCTTACTATGGTTCGTTAAGATTTAGGAGTTTTCTTCCAGGGGTTCAGGCAAATTCTCTGAGTAACTGCAGGTTAGCTAAAAGGTAGTTCAGCTCAATTTATGGTTTTAAAAACAGAATGGGGAGAAAAAACTACTAGTGATAAACGATGAAACTCTTTGAGGTTTTCCACAATGCAGAACTAGGCACGATGAGTTCTTAGAGAAAGCACACAAATACAAACATCTATGTTCTCAAAGAGGAATTTGCACCCGCTGTTCCTTTACAAGCATCTTCAGTTTTATTTTGACCAATAATTGTTTTTTTCCTTTACTGTATAACTAGGTACTTTACTAACTTCTCATAAACGCCAGTCACTTTTTAGTTTATTCTTTAGTGTTTTCCAGGTAGGCAATCACTATACTATAAACGGTATAGTGCAGTGTTTCAGAGCACAGTTTTTGGAGTCAAACCCAGCTCAACTACGTCCTTAGCTATGTGACCTCAGGTAGAACACGTCCATCTCCAAGAGCCCCATTCTCTTCATCTGCAGCACGAGGTGACACCATCTGTTTCAAAGTGGGTCATGAGGATGAATGACCATTAGGTGAGAGTCCAGCCCAGAGTCTGGCACATGCTGAGTGCTGACATTAACAGATACTATTTACTCATCAGCATTGTTTACAAAGGGTAAGAAAACTGAGTCTGCAAGAACCCATCCTACTGCAAGCGGAAAATGCTCGCAGCCATCCCACAGTCTGACAATCCTGGTAAGGCCACGCAGGACCACACCAGGGAGTCTGTCACTCATCCGTGCCCACTTCTGGAAGGTCGAGTGCAGCCTGCTTTATCCTGGCTTGGGCCTTCTTGTGTAATCTTCCTGTGCTATGGCTTGCAACACTATATAATCTTGATCCTTAAGTCTCAATCCATCCTGTTTTTTATATTACATACTTTGCACATGAAAGTACCTTTCTTTCAAACACCAATTACAGAGCCACATTCAGATCATTAGTCAGTTCAGAGTATTACTAAGGATGCTGGAGAACTGTGGTAAAATCTCTCTCCCAGCAGGAAAGGAGGGCCACCTTGCCCTCTACTGCAGCAGCACGGGAGGAGACTGCAGCCTGCAGGCCAGTCAGAAACGCATGGCTCCATCAGCAGGGCTTTCAGTCTACAATCCCTGCACCCATGTACACGACTCCAGGCTCAGACTCCAAAGCCCACCTCACGTGTGCCTCAGCAGATGCAGATCCACCACGATAAAGCCCTGAGGGCACCTCCGTCTAGGAGACCAGGGCTGGATCTTCTTCTGCTTCCTCTGTTTCACCTACTCATCTCAGAAGGTGAGTAAGAAATAGCCAGAGGTCTTTGTCTTTTGCTGGTAATACTAGTCCAGGGAAATAGGATATTACCACTGACTCAGTGTTGCTCAACAAAGGCACTGTACTTCACAGAGCGGCTGCCTCACACACTGCAGAATGTATGAAACTCCCCACTCAGGGCATAACTGCCAGCAGCACAGCAATCAAAACCACTGCCTCTTTCCAATGCTGCTGACCAGGAGAGTGGTACCGCCTGAGACTGAGAAGCACTGCGCTAAGTCACATGAGACTCTTACCTGGTGCTGGGGCAAACCCACTACCTAGTAGAGAGAAAATCACAACTGAAGGACGACCTTGGACCCTGCCCCACACGATCACAACCTTCTTGACTAGGTCTTTCTATGATGGATACTGCAGAACCTGCCCCCATGGAAGAAATCACTGCAAGGAGAAAGGGGCTACGAGGTGCTATGTCCAGTATCTCTGAGATACCTTGAAGCAACAAGCAATGCACACATGAGCACCTCACGGGACACACGTACAGTGAGAACGACTGGATTCAGTACCCCTGTCCCCAGCTCCTCTCTCACTGAACCTGTGTTTATTGGATCCCGATCTCCAGGCTCACTCAGACCGTGCCTCCTGGTACTTCACCAGGTCCACTCGGTGTATTTTATTCTAACCATATTCTAACACCAGTCAGGGGCCCCCATTCAGGCCTCTGACTCTCAGACACACAGACTGAACATGCTGACTGCTGATTTCTGGTACTAATCCACATTTCCTCCATTTTATGTATCGTAAAATAGAACGACAGAATGTAGGATGTGCCCAGTCCTGAGCTCTGCTCTGGGGCTGGGTCAATGAATGAGACATGGTCTTACTGATAAATGAGCTACATATTTAATCTGCAAAGCTGATAAGGAATAAAAGGTAGCCCAGAGAAAGAGAAGCTGAGAAGCAGAACAAATGAGAACATAGATTCAAGGAAGGACACATTCGGTCTGGCACGGCCAGGGTAGGTGGATGTCCATGGTGAAGCGGTGCAAGAGAGGGGCACAAAGGGAGGCTTGGGTTACAGAAAGAGGGTCCATGCATCCACCCTAATGAGTATAGCCTCACATATAAGTAATTGAGAGCTGCTGGGTATATTTACGCAGATAAAGTTAGAAAAATATTTCAGAAGAATAATTCTAATTGTTCTAATTTTAGTACATCACGTAAGGAGACCTCTTAAGAGACTAAAGCAACAGACAAGAAATGAGGGATTTGTGGAACAGGGTAATAAGAGCAAAATGAATAGATTTGAGAAGTATAGAAGGGGTCGAATTAACAAATTTGGTAACAAAGGGATATGGAATTAAGAAAGGCATCAAGGATAACGTTTTCTAGTTCAGGCAATTGGGGAAAAAAATTGAGTGGGGAAGAAAACAATTCTAATTTTAAAGTTGTTGAACTTGGAGTAACTGTGGGATATCCGTTTAGCTGCCAAAGTTCACTCCAGAAAGAGGGTTAGAACCATGAATACAGATTTGCTGTAAGCCAAGTCACAAAAAATGTGGGAGAAAAACTTAGACAGTGTTTACTTTATTAAGAGACTTACAATGAAATAATAATTAAAAAACTTTGAAGATATACTAAAGAAAGACATCATTATCACAAATTATTTATTTGACCAGTACCAATTCTTAGTGCCTGTTTCTGTCAATGACCTGGAATGCACTTTAGTGCTCACCCGTAATCATTTTGGTCGAGGTCCTGGAGGGCAAGTTTAAATAATAAACTAAATAAAAATCAGACTGAATTGGAAAAATAATATGTTGTCACAGAAATTCCTGTTGCAAACAGAAAGTATACATACTACTGAAATTTTACTACTTTTCATAGGAATGAATAAAAACATTTCCTATATCTGATTTAACTGATCAAAAGGTAAAATAGATATCTTGATTTTTTTCCTTTTAACTAAGTACTTTTGACTTTAAAAAGATACACTTGGTCACAAAACTTTATGTAGAAATTCATTTGGTCGCCAGGCACGGGAACTCACGTATCCGCAGTCCCTAATCTAAGGCAGGGGAGCGGCAGGGGAGGAGAACAAGTCGCTGAAATAAGTAACAACCGGATTTCTCTAAAAGGAAAGTGACCAAGTTCATTTACCTACTTTTCAAATGAATAAAGGTTGGAAAACTATCCACTATAACCAACGACAAAGTGTTTCACGATGATACTAAAGGCAGTTGTGTTAGCGAGCAGTAGACAGACAGTGCACCGGGAGCACGGGGAACACAGTAAATGGTCCCTGGAGGACAAGAGGGAAAGACTGAGGACAGTGACAGGGATGGAAGGGCAGGATCTCGACAAACCCTGTGTCTGCACACAGCCTGTGGGTCTGTGGGTCAGGCTCCCTCAGGAGCAGACATTTCAACACTCCTCACCAGACTCGCCAGACACTGGGGCTGCTTCCTCACCACTTCCCACCGTGCTCCGGAGTATTTTTACATGTTTGTAACCACACTGACATGCTAGTAAGGGTTATTCATATGTTGTGGGCATTCAGTTCTGTTTGTGTATCTGTATGAGAATAAGCGGAAAGTTGAATGAAGAGAAGTGCACACGACATGGTCTGGTCTGCAGGCACAGACACACAGATCACATGCACACACTATATACACAGACAGTTAAATAATCAGCTTATATTACATTTTTTCCATTATCTTAAATGCTCAAATTTTTATTTTGAAAAGCACATATCAATGAAACAATTGAGAGAGACTGTTTAAATGAGAGAAAAGTGATTCCTACCATTCTCTTCATTTGTCTGGTGCATCGGGCACAGTACCACACCAGGCGAGGGTCATTCACTTCCTTGTCTGTCACCTGCGGCTTGTGGCAATCTTGGTGGTAGAGATTGTGGCACTCCTGACATTCCACTAACTGATTACCAGATGCCACCGTCATTTGCCTAAGAACACACACCATTACACACTGCACTGATTTGAATGCAACAATTTAAGGCATTTCAGGGTTGTTGTGGTAAAGTCTGATATATTAAAGACGATTAAACTCCAGAAAACCAAAGAGCAAAACAAGAAGCCTGCAAAGTGTCGCCTGCACAAGCACTTCACTTTCAAAGTTTATGCTCAACCATTAATAAATACAGAAGGTACCTTAGTAACTAAACGTGGCCATTCTCCTTGTCCTGTTTTTCTTTCTCCAGAAGGTAGTAGACTTCGGCTAGTCCTCCAACAGCCTCATAACATTTTCTTTATCCCTCCATTAAACTCCTTTATGTTTGTCACCTGCCTGCTGTCTACCTTCATTAATGTGTCAGTTGCCTAAAGGTGGGAACTGGACCTGATCCTCCACGGTGCCTACCACATTACTGTGCAGACACAGGGTGTTCAATAAAGAAACCTCCTATCGACTGAACAGAAGGAAGCAATATGTGTATCACAGAAGTCCAGACTCCAGCAGCACAAAAAGCAACTGCCACAGCCTTAGACTAACATCAGTCTCCTGACGGAGGGTTACACTTCCGAGTTCTCTCCCCATGTTCACTTTACCATTTCTTTATTTAAAAAGGATAACCAGGCTGGCCCAGTGGCATGGTGGTGAAGTTTGTGTGCTCCGCTTTGGCGGCCTGGGGTTTGGATCCCTGGAGTGGACCTACGTGCTGCTCATCAAGCCATGCTGTGGCAGCATCCCACATACAAAATGGAGGAAGACTGGCACAGATGTTAGCTCAGGGTCAATCTTCCTCACCAAGAAAAAAAAAAAGAGAGAGGACCTTCATGGTAGATAAAGGTTGAAATGACCAAATATATGTGAAAACAATGAAGGTCTGGCAAACGATCCTGTTCAGAAGCACATTAACTGATTCTCTGTAGGGCTCACAAAAGCTCAGAGTCATCTACTCAGTCCCAACACAACAGAATTCAACATTTTCATGAAGAAAATAGCAACAAGATGGTAATCTTTTCTGTTGTTCCAGGCAGTGAAAGTCATTAATCATTAAAAATATAACCCCAGCACTAAGAAGTTTAAAATCTAGTTATTCTGATTTTTAAAACTTATTTTCTACTAAGCAGAATTAGCTACGTTTTTATAATTATGTACCCAAGTTTCAAAGTAACACTCAGAATAACCTACATGAGCCAATGATTTCATTTTGATTATCTTTAGGAAAATATTTAATGGTGTTTTAGGAAGTGATATATAACAGTTTACATTATAAGTACTATCAACAATTCAGGAAAAAAACCCAGACTTCTTTTAAAAAAGAGGGAAATAATCAAGTCTGCTGAACTTATCTTCCTCACTAAAGAATAAAGCAACAATCACTTTCCCTCTAGAACCCAGGAACGCAGAAAAGGTTACTGCAACACAACAGATTAAAGACACCACAGTCAGGAAGACAGAGTATTTGAAGATTTTTAAGATGTTAAATTGTTACATGGGCAGCACATAGGGAATAATTTACTTATCTCCTACCTGCCTCCAAATAATAAAAACAAAAAAAAAACACCCAACAATTGGTCCAATTTTTTTTAGTTGTTTGTTCTGCACAAAGAAACAAAAGAACCTGCAGCAAGGGACAACCCACCTACAAACAACACAGGCCAAGCCCATCTCCATGGCAAAATCGTCAGCACTGGTCTCCTCGAAACTGGACAGGTCAGCCATGGCTAAGTCCTTGCTGGTCTGGACGGTAATGGGAGAGGACCGTGTCTCTGGTTTCTCCAATCTAGGTTTCTTGGGAAGATCAAGTGCTTCAGTGATGTCAGATTTCACCTATAAAAAGCACCCAATCAGAGAGTAACACGTGAGAACAAACTTCAAATCACTGAGAGACGGACAAGATTGACAGCATGGACAGCCTGCAACGACCAGGTCCACCTGACACACCTTCACATAGTTAGGGACAGATGCACACACTAAAGATCTGCACATTTAGAACGAACGCAGCACCATTATGTTAAAGGAAACCAGCAAGGTGGAAATAAATAAGCCAGAGCAGTTTATATCTATCTGTATTTCTTTTTGTATTCTTTTATCCATTAAAGAACTCTGGAAGTTCAAAGCATTTTATACTTCTCTTTTTCTCCCCCTACATGAGATGCTTTGAACTGAGAAGCCACAACACTAACAAGGCTATTTTTAAAGGCTATTTTTTATCTTGAATATTTTTAATTATGAACTACTGACATTTAAAATATACTGAAAATAGGTAAATAACAAACTATCTGCCAGTCATCTAGACTTAACACATTGTCATACTTGCTTCAAAGCAAATTCTGGCTCCTCTCCTTAAGATATTAATGTTATAGCTACCTGTCAGACTGGCAAAAATTAAAAAGTCTGATAAGGGGCCAGCCCAGTGGCATAGTGATTAAGTTCATGCTCTGCTTTGGCGGACCAGGGTTTGCAGGTTCGGATCCCAGGCACAGATCTAGCACCACTCATCAAGCCACGCTGTGGCGGCATCCCACATAAAATAGAGGAAGATTGGCACCAATGTTAGCTCAGCAACGATCTTTCTCAAGCAAAAAGAGGAAGACTGGCAACAGATACTGGCTCAGAGTCAACCGTCCTCTCCCTCCACCCCAAACAAGTTCGATAAAATATGGAGAATTGGGAATTCTTATACTTTATTGGTGAGAGTCTAAATTTAGTACATCCACTTTGGATAGTAATTTGGCAATGCCTAGTAATGTTGAATATGTACCTATCCTCTTACACCCACTTTTAGGAACACGTCCTATAGAAACTATCACCATGTGCACAAAGAGGTGTATATAAAACAGCTGATTGAAGCTCCATCACAATAGAGAAACGGGAGCAAAAAGCTAATCATCAGTAAGAGAATGGATAAACAGGCTTATTCATATTATATGGTAGCTGAAAGAAATAGATCTACACATATCAACAAATGTAAATTTCAAAGGCACATTGTTAAGTGGAGAAAAGTTACCAAAGGACACACATAGGCATACAGCATGATACCATTTATATAAGTTTAAAAGTACAGAAAACAATACAATATAGTTTATGAATAGCCAATATTTCAGAAAAAAGTATGAAAACATATGGGACTAATATACCCCACCTTGAGGGCAGGGGCTACCAAAGACTTTTTTACTGTATTCTCTACTAAGTGCTAAAATTTTGATAATTAACCATGTGCAGAAATCATTCAAAACAGACGACCCAAGAATTACCTGAAGCCCTGTTCAGGTACACGTCATTCTGTAACAAACGTCACGGTTGGTCATTTCCATCTTTACTCTCTCGTCTCTATCTATGCTTCTCAACAGCTGTGCCATCGGGAATATTCGAGCTACACATTGAAGTAAAACTAGCACATCTCCCAGGGCTCAAAGATTCATTGACAAGGACTTCAGCAAACGGTCCAAACATGTTTCTAAATTTTACTCATTTTTCAAAAAAGTTAACGTCTATAATTATCAAAATATATTTACTGAGTGACGATTATGTGCTTTTACCCACTGTTATAGAAAGGAAGCAAGCACAGAACACCGTTTCCGCCTGTCACCTGCTGATCTGCCTGTCACCTGCTGACCTGCCTGTCACCTGCTGACCCGCCTGTCACCTGCTGATCCGCCTGTCATCTGCTGACCCACCTGTCACCTGCTGACCCACCTGTCACCTGCTGACCTGATTAGGGAAACCCACCTTATCCGCAGGCCTCTTCTCAGCCTCCTTCTTCACCTTCTCCGCTGTGAGGGCCCTGCCATTATTACTGCCAGAAGGAAGACTGGATGAGGTTTTGGGCTCTTGCTTAATGGAAATAGTTTTTGTGCTTGAAATTTTGGGTGGCTCCACATCCTAAAAGGTGAAATAAAAAGATACCCACAAATAAACATTCAGTCTATCTAATATATTGTACAAAACAGATCATAAATCTAAACAATTTTCAGTCAAAATTAAGACATCACACTGTGATCAATGTAACGTTCTTTTCTTTAAACAGCTTTATTCGGAAATAACTAACATACAAACTGCACCTATTACAAGTGTAAAATTTGATAAGTTTTGCCATCCAGTTTCACACCTGTGACACCATCACCACGATCAATATAACAGACATCCATCGTCCCCTGCAGCTTCCTTGTGGCCCTCTGTAATCACTCCTGCAGGTATCCATCCTAGGGAGACTGTTCTCCCTTCCTCAGGCAACCACTGCTACTTTCTGTAACCATAGATTAGTTTGCATTTCCTAGAAATTTACATAAATGGAACCATACAGCATGTACTCTTTTTCTGTCTGACTTCTTTCACTCAGCATATTTATTTTGAGATTCATCCATGTTGTTGAGTATACCAACAGTTCATTCCTTATATTGCCAAATAGTATTCCATTGAATGGATATACCACAATTTGTCTACCCACTTACTTATTGACAGACATCTGGATTGTGTGCAGTTTGGGGCTACTAAAAATAAAGTTGTTATGAAGATTCACATCATACGTCTTTGTGTACACATACACTTAATTTCTCTAGAATAAATGCCTTGGAGTGGAATGGCTGGATCATATGGTAGGTCTAGGTTTAACTATTTAAGAACCTGCCAACTCATGTTCCAAAGTGGTATACCATTTTACATTTCGACCAGGAGTACACGAGAGCCCCAGTCCCTCACATCCTCAGCAACACTTGGTATGGCTCATCTTTTTAATTTTAGACTTTTCAATAAGTATGCATTGGCATATCATTGATTTAACCCACATTTCCCTAATGGCTAATGATGTTGAGCAGTTTTTCAAGTGCTTATTTGCCATACATGTACCTCTTTCAGTAAAGTGGTGTTAAAATTTTTCGCCCATTTTAAAAAACGGGGTTGTTTGTTTTATTACTGAGTCTAAAGTGTTTTTCAAGATTCTGCATACAAGTTCTTTAACAGACAACACGAATTGCAAACACTCTCCCCGAGTCTGCGGGTTGTCTTTACATCCGTGTTAAACTTTGAATCCTCGTTCTTGGATTACAGCATATATCACAGCTTTGCTGATACACACGCTTGTTATCTAATGTTGTTAATAGTATAAAAAGGTTATGCACATGGTAGCTCCTTGGAATCACCAACCACCAAAAAAAGGAGGGCATTTCCCTCCCATTCTCAATAAAATCAGAACATCTGAGTGCAGTCTGTCTTCCATGCTGAGACCCAAAAGTATAAACCGTAAACAGGGCTGCTACACGCCAGCTTCAGGGCAGCAGTGGCCTCTGAGGAGGAAGGGAGGGAAGGGCCGAGAAGCAGGGCTCGACTCAGCAGCAGCAGGCTGACTCACTGTTGTGCTGTCTGGTTTTATAAATAAAGTTACATTAGAACACAGCAATACGTACTCATTTATGTATCTGCAGCTGCTTTCATGCTGCCATGCCAGAATTAGTGTGAGAGAGACCATCTGGCCCACAACACCCAAAATATTTACTCTGTGACTCTTTACAGAAAGTTTGGTGACCACTTGCGTAGACTTAGGAAAGTCATGGAGAAAATCTTATTTTTTATTATTATTATTTTTTGGTGAGGAAGATTGTCCCTGAGCTAACGTCTGTTGCCAATCTTCCTCTTTTTGCTGAGGAAGATTGTCACTGAGCTAACATCTGTGCCAGTCTTCCTCCATTTTGTATGTGGGGTGCCGCCACAGCATGGCTGATGAGCAGTGCTAGGTCTGCAGTAGGGATCCGAACCTGCAAACCCTGGACTGCCAAAGCGGAGCATGTGAACTTAACACTATGCCACCAGGCTGGCCCCCAACTTAAGTGTATCGTGTCTGTAATGTAAAAAACTGAGGACATACTCTTGCAGTGTTCAGCAAGGAAGCTGCTCAAGTCATTGACGGATGAGTTAAGCTCCAACTTCATTATTTCACATTCGACTTACTGAAGTGAATGAAAATATCAACTAATCTTTACGGTGGAACTACACTTGGAGAGGCTGGTGTTAGTATTTATAAGCACACGACTGCCTCCAGGTGATCTTACACATGGTAACATATGAAAAACACTGGCTTAAATCATTCTCACACAATTCTAGAGACAGAAAGATTCAGCTGAAGGCTAAAATCAGATGAACCTGTGCTTTTTAAATACCCAACAAGTATTTTCTCTGAACCGACCAAGTAACTTCCAGTTAGAAACCTAAGGGCAGCAGGCTTTTAAATCACAATAAATCTTTCATGTACTAATAGATGAACTTCCCTTTGTTTTAGAATCTCAAAACACTGGTTCTTTAGCAACAACAGGTTTTCCTATTTGGATGATACCAACACTCAGAGCAGAAGGAACTCAGTCATGTGTTCTGTGGAGATGTACTAACTCAGCTGGTGTGAACCTGCTGAACCTACTGGAAGGGGAATGACAGGAAATGAGGTCACAGGGGCTCTACTCTTCAAAGACAGTTAGAAGGACTGGGAACACCAGAGCTAACGTTGAAAGAAGGGTGGGCACAAAACTCCCCTGCTCACTAGGGTGTGAAGCCTGGGGCCCGGCCTACCTGGAGCTCCAGGTCTTGGAAGACGGCCCTAGTCACAAGCTCTGTTCCTTCCTCTGGTCCGCATCTGGGCCCACAGACCTGGAGGAGACGGCCCTAGTCACAAGCTCTGTCCCCTCCTCTGGTCCGCATCTGGGCCCACAGACCTGGAGGAGACGGCCCTAGTCACAAGCTCTGTTCCTTCCTCTGGTCCGCATCTGGGCCCACAGACCTGGAGGAGACGGCCCTAGTCACAAGCTCTGTTCCTTCCTCTGGTCCGCATCTGGGCCCACAGATCTGGAGGAGATGGCCCTAGTCACAAGCTCTGTCCCCTCCTCTGGTCCGCATCTGGGCCCACAGACCTGGAGGAGACGGCCCTAGTCACAAGCTCTGTCCCCTCCTCTGGTCCGCATCTGGGCCCACAGACCTGGAGGAGACGGCCCTAGTCACAAGCTCTGCCCCCTCCTCTGGTCTGCATCTGGGCCCACAGACCTGGAGGAGACGGCCCTAGTCACAAGCTCTGTCCCCTCCTCTGGTCTGCATCTGGGCCCACAGACCTGGAGGAGACGGCCCTCGTCACAAGCTCTGTCCCCTCCTCTGATCCGCATCTGGGTCCACAGACCTGGGACCTCGGCGCTGCACGGCTAGAGCTTTGGGAAGTTTGGAATAAGGTCGCAGTAGGCCTTAAGAATAAAGTAACAGCTGCCATTCTCTAAGAGCTGTTGTGTACCAGGCAGGCAGGACACTAGGTGACGTACATACTTTACCTCTTTTGATTTTCACAAATTTGCAATGTAGTTCTTACTATCCCCATTTTAATAATAAAGAAACAGCCTGGGTGAAATGAAGATACTATGTGCCTCAGTCTCCTAATTGTAAAATGAGGAAAATAAACAACACCTACCTCACTGGACTGTTACCACAATTAAAATTAATTACACACATACACCACTCAGAAAAGTACCTGGGACACAGCTGTTCAAGCTATGTCATCTGTGACCACACAACCACTAAGACGACTGGGATTTAAAACAGGGCTGTCTGATTCCAAAATGTACATTCTTTTCACACAAACCCACTTGGCGGCTTTGTCATGGTCAAGACTGGGGCACACAGTTCTCACACACCTGCTTTTCCCTTAAATTATCCTACCCATACTCAATTCACTTCCTTGCAAAATCCCTGTCCTTTTACTTCCTGATTTTTTGCCCCTAAAACATCAGAGAATAATTACAAGTTATGGTTTCATTCAGCAGCTTTTAAAAAAAATTTTCATCATAAAGAATTAAACATTAAAACATGCTGTGAACAGCAGGTTTCTCTAGACATAAAGCATCAGAACAGAACCGTTCCCACCCAGCTAACTCATCCATGCCGCGTGGCTGTCCTCTGAAAGCCTGAAGGAAGGAGGAAAGTAAGGAGGAGAATTTCTTCACGCCCCAGGAGAGAGGACTTGGCAGAGAGAGAGTCCTGGGATGGTCTAAACGCTGCTACTGCACTACCACAGGTCTTACAAAGCTCCCTCCACGCTTTCACTCCCGGAGGCACCTTTTGGGATGGACGGTAACTTGAATCAACGCCCCGAGCCAAAGATTCATCAAGTAATGCCTTCAGCTTTTCAGCAGAGTCCTTACTCTTCGAATGTAAGAAGCCCAGTGCTTTCAAAAAAATGGGATCAAGTTCCAGGTTCACAGCAGCAGCCATTGCAAACACCTGAAGAAAAAGAGAGGAGAAAGTAGAGACACTGCGCAATTATCTATGTCAAAATTTATTTCTTCTTTTGTTTATAACAAGTAATACTGTGTACATGATACAAAATTCAAAATATCCAAAAGGTTATTAGAGATAAAGGTAAATTTCCTTCTTACCCCTGACTGGTATTATCTAGTTCTTTCCCCCCAAGGAACAGCATTATCAGTTTTCTGTGTCCCCAAACCCAAGCTCTGAATCCTGATAAGCTCCTCCCTGCCAGAGCCGCTTCCTGATTTAAAATATTCAGTACACATGAACTTCACGTGTTTAGGTGGAGTCCACTACATATCAGAATTTCTTCTCTCAAACCTTCTGTTCAGGACAAAGAAACAAAGGAAGATTCAGGGTGGGGGCGTCACAGGAGGGTGACGGTTGGAGGGCGCACTGAATGGCAGCTACACACGAAGGGCAGTGCTGCAGCCTTCACACCAGCTGCCTCTGTCTGTCTCCGTGGTCCTCAGCCCTAACCTGAAAGCTCAGAAAACACACCAGTGATCCTCTTGTCGGGTCACACGTAGAAGCGGCATCTCAAGCCTGAACCTATTTTAAAAAGCAAGGTCTCTGAGCAAAGGTGCCGAATCTACTTATCCACCCTTCCATCTCCCTCCCACAGGGCCTGTGAGAAGGCCCTCCATCCTGAGGAGCTTAAAACAGTGAGGCTACTCATCAAAGGCTTAGGAAATTTCAAAACATTAAAAAGTTTTGTTTTCCACTAATATCCATTCTATCATGTGGTTCTACTTCTGATTGTCACTTTTTCAAACACTTCTCCAGGCAAGGAATTATTAAAATAAAAATGTAGACTTTGTGTTCAATCCTTTGATCAGTATTCTCAGGCTTGAAATCATCTTCTATCCTTGAGGTTAACATTATAAGGCAACACACTTGCACTGCTGGAGGTAAGGTTCTGCCAGCGATTCCACAGTAATCTCTCATTTTCAGGGGTTTATAAAGCCGTTAGAACTTGCTGTAGGTTGAATCTTGGCATACGAATGCTCAGCCTGAAAACGGATTTTGTTTGTTCCTTCTCCATCCACTTCCCCGCTAATCCGTCTCCAACTCTAACAGGAAACACACACACACACACACGCAGAGACACACATACAGCCCCCCTAGGCTTTTTTTATTTAACTTTTCAAGAAGGGATTAGATTAGATCTAATAGCCTCAGAATTATTGTCAATTTCTGTGCTCTACTAAAATATCTGAATTCCTGATGAGAAAGAGTCTAAAGGCCAATACTAGAGGGAGAAAAACCTACCCCTAACAGATTTATTAGTAAGAACTTAACAAAAATTGAGAAGCAACCTCTGTCACTTCTTGAGACTGTATTATCACATACCATCATTTGCATATAGGGACAGGTACAGAAAGGTTATTTTAAATTTTCTCCTGGGGCGGGTCACCACACACATTCCAAGGAGAAGGCCCCTCATTAAAATGTCCAGGACAACAAAGGTGCCTCTCCTCCCGCGTGGACGGGGAACACAGCCTCGTCTTTCCGCTAACGTAGCTTCATAGCTAGACACGGTGGTTTCCTCATCCAGAACAATCTGTTCGTGAGGTAGTGACCAAACAGCTGAGACTTACAAGGATCCTTCTAGTATACTAGAAAAACCACTACTTGAAATCTCTATGCTGAAAAGCAGAATCAAAGTATTTATCATATCACTACACATTTCCATAGTCACAGATGAAAGGTGCAGAGATGAGTGACAAGTCAGCACCCAGGTCACAGACTGCAGGAGCCACATCAAAGACACTGACATCCCAATAGGATCCTTGGAGTTGGTTCTTTTTATACAATCCCAAAATTATAAAACTGAACAGGCTTTGTACCCCTGCCCTAAATTAGCAACATGTCCCTCTGGCCCAGGGGTCTCTACAGTGGAATACAGGGAGAAAATATTAGAATTCCTTTTTATTTTTTAATTAAAAAATAAACTATTAATATACAGCGTGATAGTAGTGATGCATACAATTGGTAACTAAATACGCATGTATGGAAGTGTGCTCACTTGTTTTACTCACAGGATACACGGTGAGAAGGGTTGGAGGCCACTGCTTCAGCCTGTCCAGCAACTTTGGTGTTCCTCTCCCTGTCACATCTACTCACGGCTGCTTTAGGGCACAGACTGCTTACCCCGCTAATCCCCAGGACCCTCATTAGGCTCAGCCTCTCCCTCTCCACAACAACTTCACTGCCCATCATCCTCGAGACTCTACTCATCACCGACACACTCCCCTGTATTCTCCACTTTTCTCTCAAGAACTCCTTTTATCTCTTCACCTTTACTGTCTGCCTCCCCCCTACCCCCCACTCCCGCCCGAGACATCACCATTCTCACAACCTCCTCCCAAGAAGTGTTCCTTTGAGTTCTTCCTACTCAAAGAGCAAAGAGAGGTCTACAGAGACCTTAGACTAAATCGCTGCTTTGGGAGAAAATTCCATGGCCACCATTTATCAGCACCGCCTCCTGAAATCCACACTCTTGCTAATGTACAGAACACTCGCACCAGGCTCTGGTCATCTCTCCCTGCCAACATCTTTGGCAATTTTTGCTTCTAAACTGGTATCTTCTCCAACTCCTGCACTCAATTTACTGAGATCTTCAACCCCAAGGAGCTTCCTCTTCAGCCAATAAAACTTGACACTTGCCACGACTACTCTCCTCTTTGACTACACTCCTCTGCTCCTCTATTTCTTCCAACGCTTTGACCCAGGACCCTCTTCCAGGTACCAAGACACTCTTTCTTTTCGGGTTGGTTTTTTTTCCACTTCTTTACTCCCGTTCTACCCATACTGTGAATTTATAGAGGCCTCCAGTTTCTTGTTCCCTCTGCTTTCTCCTTATTGTCACCTCTTTGCCCTCATCAAACAGAACACAGTAGTTGGGCCTAAAATAAAACCCTCCAGGTTGTGTGTTTTATCCTTGCCCTCTCAGTTTTCTGTCTTACTCTTCCTCTCCCCTCTGATTCCCTTCTCTGGTTTCTAGTACTCCTCCTTTCTTACTGGTAAATGCACATATAGTGAAAATTTATTTTCCTTCTACTGAAGTCCTGAAGAGGTCAGCAATTGTGGTATAACTTTGCCAATTTATCTACTTTATTATTTTCAAAAAATATTTTCCTGAAGTTATAAGAAATCATGTTACTTCTATACAATACCTTTCATGTATATTCCAAAACCCATGACCAAAACAGACTGTAAAAGAGCCGTATCATTCTTACTGTAGATTAGAATTCTAGAAAACAAAGTCCGAGAGTGTGGCATGTGGATGGATGGATAGTTACAGATGTACATCTATAGATACAGATATATGAAAGAAATTTAATGCTTTAAATGTAGGTTTAATTTAAAACCTAGATGTTGCTTTAAAAAAAGGAGAACGTCAGAAAATTAATCTTAACCACTTTAAAAAACGTCAATGACCTAGGAAAGTGGTAGCAGTGACATTGGTGGGAGTGAATTCTTTGCTCATGCTAGGAATTGTCTATGACAAACGCATATAAGTGACACAGAAATTCCTACACTAAACCATGGTTTTTCTTCATCTCTTTTCTCTTTCTTGACTTATCTGCAGTGTGTCACTTTACTTCCTGTCCCGCTTTCATTCCACAGTTCCGCCTTGCAAGGACTCTCCAGTACTCTAAGCACTCCCATCCCTAGGCCCCAGCTTCCTGCTTTGCAGCCATCCGCTGCTAACCACCGTCTCCCCACCCACACCCAAACTCTAAGGGCACTGAGAGGAGCACATACACACTCCACATGTGCAGTCACCATTCTCGCCCAGGCACTCGACACAACCTCGCAATCCTATCGTGCTTCTCCCGTCAACTAATTTCCCCACTTTCTGCAGAGGCCAGTCACACTCTCTCGACTTTCCTTGAAACTGCTTCCCTGTCTCAGTAGACGGCCTCACCTACTTCACAAAGAAACAGAAGCTGTGAGAGAGGAACCAAGTCGACTTCCTGTCACCACACGTACAGACGTACCTGCACCCCTCCTCTCCTCCTTCCCACCTGATAAACAAGGACGGGACTCTCCACGTACGCCACCAGCACCTGATCCTATCCCTTCCTTCCCCCTCAGGAACCCTGAGCTGTGGCTTATTAACTGCGTCTTCTCCACCTCCAGCACCTGGATCCTAGCTCTTCCTTCCCCCTCAGGAACCCTGAGCTGTGGCTTATTAACTGCGTCTTCTCCACCTCCAGCCCCCAGTCTCTTTCCTTCTACTGGCATCTTTTCATCAAGCATCTTTTCATTCACATTTAAATATACTCAAGCCTCTTCTAGCCAGTCTTCTTCGTTTTATAGCAAAACTTCCTCAGAACGTCATCTACCTTTTATATTCTTTCTTCATTCCTTCTACTTATGCCACATTTCTTGCAATTTGGCCTTGTCCCACCACTCCATGAAAATGTTCTCACCAAAGTATTCACAGCCTTATTCAGCTAAATATAACAAATACTATTTTCTCCTCCTACTTATTTTTCAGCCTTCTCTGTAGGTTCCTCCTATTCCACTTAAAAAAAAAAATGACTTCCTCAAGGTTAGGTTCTGAGTCTCCTCTTCTCTCAGTCTATACCTCCTCAAGATGTGTTCTCTGGATCAGCAGCATGCGCACTGCCTGGGAACCCGTTAGAATGCAAACTCTTGTTCTCCACCACCAGACCTACTGGAGAAAAAACCCTGGGAGGGGGCCCAGAAGTCTGCATTGAACCTTCCAGTGATTCTGGTCCACTCTGAAATTTGAGAACTACTGCCATGGACAATTTGATCCACACACTTCTGCCAGAGATTATGAATTTCTCTCTCCAGCCTATGCATCTCTTTCAAGATCGAACTGCCAGCGTGACCCGGATACGTCACTGAGGTAGGTGCCTCCTACTCAACGCAGCCCTAATAGAGCCACAATCAGGATCTTCTCTCATCTCCCAGCCAACTACTCCTGTAGTATTCCCTTTCTCAAGTGATACTTGCCCCATTGCTCCAGCCAGAAACCAGAGAATCAGCTTGAACTCCTCCCACTTCCTCATCCCTGTCCCCATTTAATCACCCAAGGCTCCTCAAGTTCACCTCTCAAGTTCATCTCTCTTTTCAATCCTCACTACTACCCCCACCCCAGACCAAGCCACCATCATCCATCTATCATCCGGCCCCTGTAATAGCTTCATCAGAGTCCCCACAACCTCCCTCTCCCCCTCAAATCTTTTCATATCCCTCTGCTGATCAAAACACTCTTTTCATTTCTCACTGTCCAAAGGTAAAGAACCAAATTCTGAACAAGATCTCTGATGACTGCATGATCTGGTAATACAGGGAAAGCAGGGCTGACAGTACCTGGTACAGACAACACGCTCACCAAATGTTACCTGGTATCTCAGGCCATCCCCACTCTCTGCTGAGGCCACACGACCTACTTCAAGTCCTTCGACATAGCAACTCTTTCTCACCTGGTACTTTAGTAGAAAGTGTCCAACCCCTCATCTTATTCATCCTTCAAGTCTCATTTTCTGCACATTCCCACAACAAAACAAGAAGTGTTACCGTTATACGGCCCCCAAATATCCTGTACTTAGTGATAATAGCTACTACACTGTTAATTATGCAAACAGTGCCTGTCTTTCTCACCAGAACCCAAGTTCCACAAGGGCCAGCTCTGACCGGTCTTGCCGTCTGCACCCGGCACACAGCAGGTTCTCGGCAAACGCTGGCCAGGTGAGATCACGCTCTCCACTTCCTCTTTCAAACTCCCCTCTCCTCCTCGAGTTCTACATGATCACCTTCTCTGGGCTTCCTCTTCTGTCTCTGACTACTCTCTCTGGCTCATCTTCTCATTCCTGTTGTTCTTGGCATTGCCCAAGGATCTGTCCTTGTCTACCTGCCTTAGTTCTGCTACCAGTCTCTTCCCTGGTGATCTCATGGATGTCACGTTCTCAACCACCACCTCTAGGCAGAGGATGCCATGTTTACCCCACCCCAGTCTCTCTTAAGCTCGAATCCTGCATTTCCAGCTGCTTAGCAGACTGTCTACCAGATTGTCTTAATGGTCCCTCAAGTTCAGTGACGACTAAACTTGACATGATGACTACCTCCCCCAGACTTCCCTGTCGTGCACTTTCTTCCAATAAACGAAACAACTCGGTTAGGCAGAGCTGAGTCCCTCATCTCTCAAGCACCAACACCCAGCAGGCCTTTACTGTGGGTTCTGACGGTACAACATTTCTCACACCTGCTCCCTGTTTTCCACCTCACTGCTACCACTCAAATTCAGGCCTTCATTAGCTTTTTCGTACTATAGCAATAATCTAGTTATTCTCCTCGACTTCAACACTGTTGCCATATTAATGTTCCTGAAACACTTTTTTTTTTTCATTTTCTTCCTCAAAAATTAAGGCTTCCCAATGCCTTCAAAATAAAACCCAACTTCTTGCCCTAGCATTTAAGCAGATGCGTTAACTGGCACAGCAAACCTTACCTCTTCACCCCCAGACCTGCCTTCTGGCAGAGCCATTAGCTGCCTTGCCACTTCTACTCTTTTTTTCTCTGGGGAGCTTTTTGCCCATTTTTAGGTTTCTGAACCCCCTCAAGAGGCAGCTCTCACACGACGTCTCGCCAGGACTGTGTGTACAGCTGGCGTGTCCTCCACTGCAGAGACCAGGGCCCCCCTCCCTGCCAGGACACGTGCACCGCTTCCTCGTGGGGCTGCCTCTGGCCTGGAACCATACTCTGGTGCACAGGTGTTCTCTTCGCTGTAAAACAGAGCTCTAAGGACGGAGTCTACACTCATCTTTCCGACCATCGTCCTGCGACTCTGCGAAGCCCACAAAATGATGGCTGTGGAGCTACTGAAGGATCAAGGCAAATACAGCGGGCTTTGCTCGCTCACTCAGCTCCAATAATCTCCCAATCACTTCGCAGAAAGCACCAAAGGAGGTACTCCAACCTGCCGCCAGCGCGCCGCGCCCCGACACCCAAACGGCACACGAGCGCCCACGGCCCGGCTCTGCAGACCACGGCGCCCTGACATCCAAACGGCACCCGCAGCGCCCACGGCCTGGCTCTGCAGGCCACGGCGCCCCGACATCCACACGGCACCCGCAGCGCCCACGGCCCGGCTCTGCAGGCCGGCCTTGCGGGCCCCCGCCTGCGGGCCTCCCTGCCTCACGCGGCGCGGAGCGGGGGCGAGGACGCGTGCCACCCGCGTGCACACCGCGCGCGGACGGAGCTGGCGCGCCAGTCCCTCGGGCCTCAGGGGTCTGCCGCGCTCCCGCCCCGCCCGGACGTTCCCGCGCGAACTCGGGCTTCCTCCAGCCCCGCCCCGCCCCCTGCGGCCCCGCGCCGGGCGCCCAGGGCGGCTCTGGTCCCTCCGCCTCTCCGTGCTCCTCACAGACACCCCGGTCGCAGCGCCCCAGCCTCCGAGCCTCGCAGCCCGCCGGTCGCGCGGCCCGGGCACTCACCGCCCCGCCGCCGCCAGCTCCCCCGGCTCCTCGGAACCGGCCGGGCCGCCGCCGGCCTACAGCCGCAGCACAAAGGTTCCGGCGGCGGGGCGTGGCGGAGCGCCTGTGGGTGCGCGACGGGAGGAAGTGACGCACTTTCTCCTTCCGGTGCGCCGGATTATGAACGAAGAGCGGTGCGCCGGCTCCGAGTCCGCGGCCCGGTGTCCCTCCAGCGGCTTGGCTGGCGGCGGGCGGCCCGCGGGCCGAGACTCGGGGGGCGGCGTCGGAGGCCCGCGCCGGGCGGGGCCGCCGCGACCAGGTAAAGAGTGCCGGGCATCGGTGCGCTGCGTGTCCGCGTCTGCGGCGGGCGGGGAGAGTCTCGGTCCCCAGGGCGGGCGGTTGGGGAGGGTCCCGGTCCCTTGAGCGAGCGGGCGGGCAGTCGGCGGTCGGGGAGGGTCTCGGTCCCCGGAGCGACCGGGCGGGCGATCGGGGAGGGTCTCGGTCCCCGGAGCGGACGGGCGGGCGGGCAGGCAGGGTCCCGGTCCCTGAGGCGGGCGGGCGGCACGTCTCCGCCCCCGAGCGCCGCGTGGCCTCCTCGCCGGGCGGCGCTGCACCTGCCGGCAGCTTGAGTCTAGCCTGCCTGGGCTGGCTCCGGCTTCGGAAACCTGTCCTGAGCCCTGCCTCCCGCCCGGCTCTGCCTTGCCTGGGCTTTGCTGACTCCCCTCTGTCCTTGACGCCCGTTCCTTGCCCTGAGTCCTTGGCTGTCAGGAAAGGGCCAGCACTCAATCCTGTCTTGTGCTGAATTATTGATCAGGAAGGTAGGGTACTCCTGCTTTTTCTAAACTTGTCTATAGAAGCAGTGTTTAAAGGAGAAAGTGCAAAAGCTGGCAAGAACTAGTTGAGGTGGCTGTTTTAAACAGGCAACGATGGTCATTTAAATATTGGGAAAATAATTTTTTTGCTATAAATACAACTGAATGATTTGCTGTCATATTTAATAAATCAAACGTTAAGTTATGTGAGTTTTTTCTTAATCCCTGGTAGGGAGTATATGCTACTGAGGGAATTGTCTTAAGCATATTCATTGTTTGGGTTATATCTGAAGGCATCATTTTAAGAGGTCTCACTTCAACAATAAGTCTGTGAAAGAATCAATGATATTTGAGAATTGGTTTATCCGTTGTTTTTTTTACACTTTTATTGCACTTGCCTGCTTGAAACAAAGCTCAAACTTGAACTTCTGTAGGGGGACACATCAAGGTTGCTTTTTAAATTTAAACCTGTGTTTACTTTGTAGCTTTTGTATCACCTGTGACTTGAAATAAGAATAAATACTGAGTATCCAATCGGCCTTTCTAACAGCAACAGTTTAACAGACCTCAAAGCTTAAATTCTGAGGCCAGTCAACTAAAACATCTGTAGTCTACACAGTTCCTTAGTGTGTTGTTTTTATCTTCAAGTATTCCAAGTAGCCTACTGAATTCTGTTAGGATTCACACTTGGAATGCAAGGATTAAACCATTTAGGTCATAAGCTGTTGTTTGCTGTGAGGATTCAGTAATCTTCTTTCAGGCTTGCTGAGTTTCTAACGTGAGCTTTTCCTGCTGTGGGTCCCTGTCAATTATGAGGTCAGGCTTAGCTGCAAGCATCATGGCTCCATGGCAACAGAGTCCTCCCTGACTCTCCAGAGAGAAGACACATACTTCCCTTATGGCTAAGGTTACAGTAAGCTTTTTTTACTTTTAAACATTTTTTCCCCCACTAATTGACCAGATAAGAAAACAGCTAATTTTAATTATAGGATTTTGTCCTCTAGGACCTAGCTATATATATCCCGTTACGTGATGTAATGAACACTGAAACACCTTAATTTTTTCTTTCCTTTTTTAACCTTTAATATCTAAGGTAATTAGCTACTATCTAACTGTAAGGCAAGCATTTTTAAAAAATATATATTATTGTAAGGAAATAGGGTGAGATTTACAACCAAATAGTGTTATTTTGTGAAGTGTATAAAACAGAAGCTAAGTTCTAATATCGGTAATGTTGAACATTTGTTGTAGTAGGAAATTTAAGTGAGTTTAAATTTAAATTTTAATCTTTAAGAAAAATAAGTGTAATTTTTTCATACTTGTAAACCGTTGAACTACTTTGTACAATGTAAGTGGTTAATATGCCAATGGACTTAAGGTATCATATTTCTATTCTACTATTTTGTGACTCCCTGGCTTTCAGCCTCAGTAACAAACAGATTTTTTTCAATATTTTGGGGGAGAACCTTTTCAATTCAACAGGAAGCCCTTACCTTTCCTGAGAAGTTTGGGAATATAAACATTATTTGAGGCTTGCCCATCAAAATTTGTGTTCTTTAATAGTGTCAATGGATAAAGAATTTTAGAATACGTTATAAATGAAAAATGTTAGCTTCTGTTTCTTTCAGGCCTTGCTTATGTGATAGACATTGTTCACTTCTCACCACATACTACACAGAAATTACTGTTGTTATTGTCTCCATTTTAAAAGTTAGGAAACTAAGCACAGAAAAGTTTTACATTGGTACTAAATATCAGAACCAGGATTTGGACCCAGTTAGTGAGCTCCAGATCTTGTTCATTACCTTGTATTTTTTGGTGTATAAATGTTCTACTTGCTAAGTAAGTATGTAGAGTCTAGTTTGGTTCCCAGCTCTCTTGTCTGAATATCAATATACATGAAAACTTCTGTGCTTCCTTTACCTACACATCTGGATGGATTCTAGTTATACTTTTTCCATTTCAGCTCACAGAGGTGCTCTTCTTTCTTCATTTTAATTTATATGTAGTTGACTCTTAAAATAGATTTTTTCATTTGGAAGAGAAAGAATGATGTCAAGAAGAATGAGGCTCATGGTGTACCAAGACTAAAGTTCTCAGTAGTATTCTCATTACAGCGATTACTGTTACTCATTCATCTGCTTGCATTATTCATTCCTTGGACTAAAATTCCAGTGCTGTTAAGCATTGGAGATGTAATGTCGGGTGGTAAGTGCTATAAAGCAGAAGAAAGCAGGGTAGGGGCTGGGGAGTGATGAGAGTGCTTTTTTCAATGCAGGTGGTCAGGAGAGGCCGCTCGGAACTAATATTCAGAGACCTCAGTGAAATGAAGGTGCAAGCCATGTGGATGTCTTGGAGGCAGAGGGAATAGCAAGTAGAAAAATTCTCAAGTGGAAGTGTTCCTGGCATCCTCCCAGAGCAGCAAGGAGGACTGGCTGGAGAGGAGTGAGCAAGAGGGAGGAGGGGCAGGAGATAGGGTCAGAAAAGAAGGGTAACTAGGATCACATCAGGCCCTGTAGGCTGTGATAGGAAATGTGGGTTTTGTTCTAGTGTTCTGGGGAGCCACTGAATGGTTGTGAGCAGAGGATTTATGATTTGTGTTTTTATTTATGTTTTTTTATCTGATTTATGTTTTTAAAGGATCACTCTGACCATTGTTGGAGAATGGACTGTTGTATGGAAAGTGTAGGAAAATAGTTAATAGGCTTTTGCAGTAGTCTTTTAAGGGTTGATGATGGCTTGGGTTAAGGTGACAGTGTGGAGGTACTAAGCAGTTGGATTTCTCATTTATCTCAAAGGTAGAAATAGTAGGTTATGAGAGAGAGAAAGGAGAAGTGAGACTTCAGTTATGGGCCTGAGCATCTCGTTGAATGGCGCTGCCGTTTTACCAAGAAGGGTGCCACTCAACGCAAAGGAACAGGTTTAGAAAAATGCCCAAGTGGAGATGTCAAGTAGGGCGTAGATGTCCTGAAGTTCAGGGAAAAGGGTGTAGCTGAGGTGACTAGAGTCATAGGTGGTATTTAAACCTGTGGCATTGGAGGACAGCTAGAACAGTGCCGTTAGATGGCTGAGTTGTGGCCCATTAATGGATCGTGAGATCAATCTAGTGAGTACTGACTGGCAGTAAAAAATAAGAAAGAAGCACAGAGTAAAACATATCAGATATAGTCCCTGTAGTAGGATATTTCTTTGTGATTCTTTTGTTTCAGTTTTATTTAGTGTACGATGTTACATTATAAAATTTATTTCTTATTGTGTGGCATGACCAAAAATTTGAAACCCAGCAATCAAAGGAGTGAGTGTAGATTGAGAATAGGGCAAAGCACTGAGCCACAGGTGCTAAGAGGTCTGGGGAGGATGCAACGAAGGGAATCAGGAAGGAGCCATCAAGAACTTAATCCAGGCTGAGTTGTCAGTAGCCTGCCTTTAGAACTGAGGCTTTTGTCAAGGACTACTGAGACCAGCACAAGTGCTTAGAATAAAATAGTTTCTGATGATTTTTACTTTGGTGAAATTGTTGCAATAAAATATGCTTCAATTTATGAAATTCTAAGTTTATAAAATAGTGCTATTTATATCAGAAAAATACCCATTTCTGAATGTTTTCAAATAAGATCCCTTTAGAGATTCAATTAATACTTTTGGATTGGTGTACAGTTCTCATCCATGTAATGGAAGTCAAATGTACTGTTAAGGATTGTGAGGATTGGAAGTAATGTATAGAAGTTCTCTGCTTAGCACATAGTGGGTGGACAATAAAATGTACATAACATTATTTAGAATTGTATTCTTTATTCATGTAACATTATTAAGCTCTTATCAAATTTCAGGCACAGTGATAATTTCTTATTCAAAAAAACAAATTAACTGGTCAATATTTTGTTGCAGTTATGTACTTTTTGGTCTTTATCAGCTAATATGTAACTTATCTTTTTATCTATTATGTAATATTTAGTTGCCATAGATCCAGACTTAAATTTTGAGCACAAACTTTCAAACTTTTTCCAGTTTCTGGAGAAGTATGCTTATTTTCAATGTTTATTGTATGTTTCTTCTTTTTTTCTCTCTTTATATATACATATGCATGGAGTGAATTATTAAAGTGTTTTAGATAAGAAAAGATGTATAAAACTCATTTCCTTTTCATATGTGAAATGTTTCAACTTATCGACACTGAGATATATTGATTAGAATGAGAATGCAGTAAGGTCATTGCCTAAAGTATTAAACCTGCAACTGCAGTCATTTACAAATATCTTTGAAGATTCTCAAGTGTGAAACCAAAGCTTAGAGATGTTCTTTTTCCTCTTTATTCCCTCTGCAACAATCCCAAGCAGACTGGCCTGTCCAGGGAAGAGATGCACACTCCATCAGCCCTGTGCTGAGTTTGTGTCTGCTGCTCTCTCACTCCATTTCAGGAGCAGTTGCAGTGTGGCACCTGTCAAAGCCAAGAAGGAGCAAGTGACACCTTTTCTGTGCTTGGCAGGAGTGTTACATGGAGCCACATGAGCTGTGCCGCAGGAGCCCTGGAGACCCAGAAGGCAATTGTACAGCACCTACCTTTGTAAAGCTCATGACGTAAAATTAATGGACTCAGGAATTCCCTAGGTAGAAACAGAGAAGAATAAAGGGGTTTCTTTTCTATGGTGTTTACAAAGTTTAAGGAAAAACTGTGTTCTACTCTGTCAAGAAAGACAGTACAAGCCAAAAACAGTATCAAATTTGTACAGGTTTGTTAATACTTAATATTTATTTTAGAAACTATATTAATGCTTACTGGGGAGAAATTGCCCAGGGAGAGGAAATTTTTTTTAACTCCAAGATCATTAAGTAGCATTTTTAATCTCCCAGAAAAACCAACATCTATATTGAAAAAAATAAATTATGTTAAGAATCAACAGTACTTTGTATTTTCTCTCAGCCGTATCATTAATTTTTAGGTATCTCCGTGGGCAGGTTGTTGCTGTTCTTCTTTGTTGACGTGTAGCATTTATTAAGTGCTCACAGAGAGAAGAATTTCTAGAATATGTAAAGCCTATTCTCAAGGTTCTTATATGTGTTGAAAAGTGGTAAAATACATGTACCTGAATTTTTTAAAATATTTCTACATTAAATTAAATGCTATAAAGTAGCATGACATTGTTTTCAGTGTTTTTTTAAAAAAATGTTAGGACTAGTCTCATAATTACTGTTTCTTAGACTGCTGGGCAAGTGAGGAAATGGATGCTGTTTTCTCTCAGATCTGCCTCCTGAAGCACTTAGGGATTTTCTTTATAGTCCCCCACTGTCAGGAAAGGGTTCTGAGGATTGGTGAATTGTTCAGCAATAAATAGATTTACAGGGCAAACTCCTCAAAGAGACTATCAATTTCCTAGAAAATTTTGGTTTCTTTTGCCTGTGAGCTTTAATAAGCACCCTTTAATGTTTTAAAATCAGCTCCAGGTGCCCAAGAAAACCCTCAAAAGGGTAATTAAGCTCAGGGAGAAAATGGTTTCCATGGGTTAAAAAGTTGTTTTTCTTCAATTGCGTGAAATAATTTTTCCCTAGATAATCTTTTAAACAAGTAACAAACCGTGATGCAGATGTTATGTTTTAATAAAAGAAATATAAAATAGAACAGTAGATTATTTGCATTATCAAGAGGTTTTCTAAGACAGTACTAAGTATACCCCTTTGTTATAATTAGCTCTTTAATAAATTTGAAGACCAAGAAGCTTAAAGAGTATTTGCCTATTTTGCTTTTGATTCTAAAAAAATTAAGAAATTTAGAATATTAAGGGAAATTTAGTATATTGAAAGTTTCCTAAAATTCAGGGTAAACTAATATTTCAAATACACTTGAAAGAGTAGAATGTGTACTTTTTAAAGGCTTTTAAAATAATTTTTCCTCGAAAATACCATCTTCTGTTATCCACTTCTGTGGTGAGTGCTTTTAAAGAGTGCCATCTAGTGTCAGTTTTGAAACTGTGATTTATAGATTAGAATGTGAGGAATTTAGACCCAGGAAACGTATAAATCAAACAAAAAGTTATGATAGTTGACAGAAGTCTTAAGGATTATGACTTGAAAATGCCTATCAATAATTTGACCTCAGAATTGTGTATGTTTGCATCTTTAAAATAACAAGTGTATATATTCATCCATGCATTCATTCCACAAATACTTCTTGATTACATGTACATATACGTATATAGCAAGCCCTGCTTAGACACAGCAGTGAATAAAATAAAAGCTCTGCTCTCACGGAACATTTTAGTTGGAGACAAAATAAATATATAACGTGTGACATTAGTGATAAGTGCTGTGAAGAGAAGCATAGAAGGAGTGAGAAAGAAAGCGTTCTTGGGGGAGGGTGTGCTTGGGGCTGGCAATTGGAGTACAGCAGCCAGGGAAGATCTCAGTGAGAGGCTGACGTGGGCAGGAGGTGAGGGAGGGTTGTAGGCACGGGAACGTCTGGCGCAGAGCCCTGCGCTGGGATGGACCTAGTGTCTAGAGGGATAGCGAGCCGCTTTGGCTGGAGCAGTGCGCCATGGGGACAGTTGACGAGACGAACTGGGAGGCGTGAGAGGATTAGGTCAAAGGCGTTTTTGTAGGCCGTGGTAGGAACCTTGCCTTCTCTCTGAATAGGATGGGAAGACACTGCAGGGTGGTGAGTGGTGACATGGTTTTCATTTTTGACGGGTCACTTTGGCTGCTGTGTTGAAAATAGACTAGAGGGGGAGGTAGGATGGGAAGCAGTGAGGAGGCAGTTGCTGTAATTCGGGAGAGAGGTGATGGTGCCTTGCATCACAGTGGAAGCAACAGAGATGGTTGGAAACGGTCAGATTCTAGATAGATATTGAAGGTAGAGTCAAAATACATTCTTAATGGACTGGTTATGGAGGTGTGAAAGAAAAGAGGAATTACGAATGACTCCCCAGGTTTTTGGCCTGAGCAGCCAGAAGGATGGTGTTCCCTTAACAGATGGGAAAGATACTGAGGAGCAAGTTTAGGGGCTGGGGGAGAAAAAGGAACTTGATTTTGAACATGTTAACTTTGGGATACCTCAGCTATCAGCGTCTAACTTAAGGGGAAATTCAAATATTTTTCTTACTGTGATTGAGCATGCATAGCTCATCACATATCAAAACCTACTTATTTAAGGAGAATCCATTTCTCATGAATGAATGAATATATCCCCCCAGTTATTATATTGTGGAGTCACAAAACAGAAGCAGTGTGGGAGGACCACCGTTATCAGATCTTCACAGGGCTCTTATCCCCAGACAACTCTAGGTATCTTGGTTCTTATTTCCCATTTCATTCATCTTTTTCTCACCTCTAATGAGACCCTAAAGTACTTGATTGGGAGGGTTCTATTGCAAAGCTCCTGAAGTGTCCTCATTTTAAAGGAGCTGTTATAAAATCACCCCTGAGACTAGTGAATTGCACAGGGTGGAAATCTTTCTTTTGGAAGTCATTTATTCAGTCCAGGAACAAATCTTATAGAATCTTACCTATAACAAAACCTTGTTGAATTTGACAGGCTTTTAAAATATTCGTCTTTGAGCTTCTAAATAATTATGTTCTAAGGCCTGTAACCACTTCAATTTATGCTTCAGGTGATCCAATGCAAGAAGAAAATGAAAGGCATTAAGAAAAATCTTACAGAAGAATATCTATACCTGGATTTTTCTCACCAAATAGAAGGATGTATCTTTCCTCTTCACACATCTGTAACTTTATTTTTGTTATCATACTGTGACTGCAAAATCTTTAAGGTTTGCTTAGTCCTCACTGGAGAAAGTGCAGATACTTCGCTGCTTAAAAATGTACTGTCCCAGCATGTTGAAATCCAGATTATCTCCAGGCAAGAGCTTCCGCTGATAGTCCAGAATTGCTGTTTACCTGCAGTGGTAGAAAGCCCAGACAGTTTCTGCAGAGCAGGGCTCGCTGTTGTGCTGAGACACATCGTCCAGAGAGCATATGATGCAGAGCCCTCAAAGAAGGGGATCTTGGAGCTGCTGGGTTTTAAGAAGACGTGCCTGAAGGCCTGTGCTGAAGTAAGTTTGGTGTCTCTCTCCTGTTGTTAAAGCCAGATGGTGATAACACATTCATTTGAACATTTATGTTAACTTTCTGCTGGAAACTAACGTTTCATTTACTTGGAAACCCTGCAGTAACCAGTGAAGTACTAGTTAAGTAGCCCCTCACGTGTGCCAATGTTTCAGTGCAGTATTGAAAAGTAAGAGTTTAACATTTAATTTGCGAGGTCCGGAGGCATTATTTTTAGCCACGGCTTCTTTTTATCTTTCACTTGGTTTCCATTGAGGTTTTAAAGGGCACTTTCACATGTGCACAGGAGCTCAGGCGGCAGAGCTTGGGGAAGCCTTCTGCTTCACGGGGCGTGTGCCCTCCAGGCTTTGGGTAGTGAGGACAGATTCAGCAAGAGCACGCAGGAGGAGAGCACGTGTTCCAGAGACAGGCCAGGGATAGTTTAGCTCAAGACTTAAGTTTTCTAACCCGCCCTTATTTCCCAATAGAAAGTTAATGTTCTTCAAGTGATGTTGAAAGTAAAGATTCCTAACATTTCTTGTTTTGTAGGTTAGTCAGTGGACCAGGCTATGTGAACTCACCATCCCTTTATCTATTGAGAATTTTCTCAAAGAATCTTGTGACCAGCACCCAGCTATCCCTACAGAAATACTACAGCTAGAGAAAAAGCTCAGCGAGCCTGTTAGAGTGCACAACGATGACAAACTCCGCCGGCAGAAGCTGAAGCAGCAGAAAGCTGCTGGAGCGGGGCCTACGCTTGCCCAGGAGAAATTGAAGAGCCAGGCCCATATGCAGGAAACATCTGAGGACCAGGATCCTTCATCCCAGAGCCTGGAGCTGCAAGTGGCCTTCTCAAAGCTCACGGTGCAGGAGCACCCAGCTGCTCCCAACAGGGAGCCTGCTCACATAAGACGGGCAGGCGCCTGCGCCCTTCCGCCCCTGGAGCACGTGTTTGCAGAGGGCCTGTACTTCACCTTAGCAGACCTTGTGCTCCTGCCCTGCATCCATCACTTTTTGGTAAGGACCGTCTGGAGTGGGCAGTCACTCAAAGTTTCAGTGCATGGAAGTGCTGAGCTTGAATCCCAGTTCCGCTTCTTGCTGTCGTTCTGCTCTTGGGCAAGTTGTTAACGTCTGTCTCCATTTTCTGCTCTGCAGATTAGAGGTAATAATAGTACTATCTCATAAGGTCAGTGTGGGATAGAGGACAGTTTGTGTGAAGTGTGGTGAACAGTGTTGGCACACAGTAAGCTCTCCATAAACGTTAGTGATTATTATGATCTTTAATCTTCAGTCGATAAAATGTAGCAATTGTTATAATTAGTAATTTCAAATTACTGTTGTGAATACCTTCTAATATTAGAGGTCCGAGTGTTAAAACACTAAAAAATCTTGTCAGCTATATTTTATAATTAAGAAGTCACTTAAAATACTAATTTCGTTGTTAGGTATTATCAAATCAGAAACATTTTATCCTCATCTGTCTGCTTCTCTGTTCTCCATAAGATTACTTGGGAGATTTCCTTTCCTAGTGGGGGATAGAGACATATATTCCCTCCTCCCCCCGCCATGCGGAGGAGAAAGAACAGGTGCAAATAGCATCAGAGTGAATGGGGAACTTCACTCTTTGCAGCTTTCCAGTTGGTTTTCAAGAGCTGCATTTTTCTTGCTTTGAAGCATTTCACCTTTTCCCCTACTAAGAAGTCAGATGTCAGATTTCGTTCTCATTCTCTGTCGCCAACACTTCGGGTATCTCTATTGACAGAGGAGAAAAGACTTCTAATGAAAATCTGCATATTTGGAGGCTGGTGCTTCACTGATAAGTTAGGTTGTCAGTCAGTTGGCATTTTCTTAAAGATCATTTCTCCTTTCTTCAAAATGGAAACAAACGAAGATTGGAAACCAAAATAACTTCCGAATTAAAGGATGTGAAAAAGAGAGAGATCCAGGAATTGTTTAGATATTGGTTAGTATTTTAAATGTCATGTGTATTCACCTTGTCCACGGAGCTAGGTGGGGAGAAAACATCGTTTTTTTTTTTTTCTCCTGGCCAGATGATTTCTAAATTCTCTTATCCCTGCGTCCTTCCCTTTATCACCAACTCCAGCTGTTCAAGCAGTTTCTAGATACATGTTAGGAAATGCTGTTGGTGTTCATGGCTTCTTGGTCTTGGATGACTGTGTGTGTTTCTAATTTCATAAGAATTGAGTCAAAGTGGCACAACCATTAATTCATTCATTTGAGAAATTTATTGAAAGCCTACGGTGTGTGCCAGGCTCTGTTGTAGGCACTAGGAATGCAGTGACGAACAAGACAGGTAAGATCCCAGCCCTCATGCAGTTAATATAAAATAGGGGAAGATGGAAAAGAACAAGTAAGCAAGTAATATATATTTAAATGTGAGTGCTGCAAAGAGAGGAGAAAAAGGTGATAGACAAGACAAGTATTTGCCTTCAAACTCAACAAAATATAGAAAATTGGACTCACCTCCGTGAAGGTGATTTTTAGATCATTATCCAGACAGCTGTCTTCAGCTAGCTTGCATTTGATTTAGCTTAATTTAAATCCTATTTACCTGATCAGTGTCAGTTGAGGTTAAAGTATTCCTAACTGAGAGGACTTCTCTCCTCTCCACCCAGGTTGGACATCTAACTGACCACTACTGAGTAAACCTACAGAATTCACCAAGGCACTTTGTTTAGAATAGGAGAAAATGTGTACACTCAGCCTTTTCTAGTCTATATATTCTATGATTAAATGCTTCTCTTTTGACATTAATATGTAAACACATTCTCAAAATATTTTCCTTTCTTTGTATTTTTCCTGGATCTGCACATTTTCTTTCAGAAATTAATTTTCTTTGCCAAAACCTTGATGTTATTTCTGTTATATTTATTCTCCTACGTTAAGTTGTCTTGGGTTAAGAAGCAGTCTTTTAGGTTCAAATAGCGGCCATGATGCCAAGCCCTTATGCTTGCACTGGTGCACATCCAGGTGATGGAGTGGCAGTCCAAGTGATCAGAGTCAGAATCCAGTCCAAGATCAGGAATGACGGTCAAGTTACTGAGTTTGGATCAGAAACACAGAGCTGAACCTAGAATATAAAAGAGCAGTCAAGTTTGCTAAGTCCAGTTTTGGAATACCAGAGGTCAAAATTGGAAGAGTTCGGGAAAATCCCAGTTCTGCTGAACAAAAAAAAGCCAAAGGTGCAAAACAGTAGCGGCTAGAGTGGGGAGGAGTTGTCTGCACCTGCTCCAAGCTTCTCTTCCTCTGCAGAGTCAACGCCTGAGGGCCCAGCACTTCTTCACGCAGGTGCCTGACAAACCCTCTCCTCTGGAAAGTTTTAGAAATAGATTAAACAGGAATATACTAAAATGCACTCTTCTCATGATTGTCCTTCGTTTGCTAGACTCTTCAGTGTGTAGTATAGCAGCAGCTGGGAGAAATAGCAGTGAATGGCCGCCCCAGCACTGTCCTGCTGCTCCCTGACACCAGCCAGCTTGTAAGTTGCTGCTCGTGAACAGGTGCACTTTGATGGATGACTCTGCTCCTGTGAGACAGGGAAGGTGCCATTTTTGAAGTCTTTTTCTAACTTGAACACTTATGATTTAATATTCTACAGTTTAATTTCTGCGGCTTAGAATTGAGTTTTTAAAAGTATGATACTTACTGCTAAAGTAAAATCATTGTGGAAATTGAGTTTTGAGCAAAAACACCTATATCAAATGCCTTTTTCATTGTCCTCATTGACATAAAGTTGGGAATAAAATGGAACTCTCACTCTTGGCTGGCATCTGGCAAAAGCCATGGATGCCACTTGAGTGGTTGGTTTATAGCTTTCATGTCCTCTCCTATGCCTTAGCTCCTGAAGGTTTCCGTTTTAACCCACCAGTTCTAATATATATTTAAATGATACAGAACTGGGATGCTATTTCCATTGATATAAGTTGTTACTATGTTTTACCCTGTTTGCACTGCTCAGTAAACTTTGTTAGTTATGACATGTTTTTGAAAGTAGATGTGACTAAGGAAATGATATAAAATAAGGACAAAATATTTTATATAATAAGTGATTGGAAAGTAATGCAGAGGAGGGGACCTTGTGGGTAAATGTATATCTTGCTTCTCTTTTGATTTAGACAAGTTTTTCTGTCCTCTATTAGAATTAACCACAAAGCCACAAGGGTTTTATTTTGTGTTCTTGGGAGCAGTAATTTTTTACCGTTGCTTTGAGAAAGAATTCTCTTATTTTCCTGTCCCTAAGTAACGCTGTGATATTTATTACCGTTTTGATCTTATCAGCCAGGTAACTTTTTTCCTTTCAGATCATTTCTAAGGAACAGATTTAGCTTTTTTCTTACACAGTTTTCATTAGCCACTTCCTTAAGTATACCTTCTTGAGTGTGGTGAATGTAGTTCGGTACCTCCCAAGCTGTCTGGATATTAGCAGAGCAGCCTGGCGTGTTGAGTAACTGGGATCACCTGTCATGAAGAGTAAAACTCTTCAGTTTCTTTCAAACATAAATTATTGTTATTTAATCACAGCTTATTTCCAAAAGGAAGGACAGATGCCATGTGCATCTAACAGATAAGAGTAAAATCACTGCCCAGGAGAGTAAGGACGGTGAGGAAATGAGGACATTTTGTATTTAATTTATCATGGCTTAAGCAAAATTCCCTTAGCACATAATCTGTCTCCAGGCAATTAAGAATTTTGGTGAGAATTATAAATTTTTAGACTCCCAGAGTACCATTTAGACAGTGTTTTTCAAACTTTTTAATTTCACAGCAAATAATTCATTCTACAAGGTGATTGAACAGACAAATATATGTTTATATTATATATTTAAAAACTTATAAATACATATAAAATAACACACCTGACTACATGCTGTGTACTCTAATATTTTCTATTTTATTTCATTTTTTAAAAAATCTACATTGATTTCACAACCTCCTAATGGGTCATAAACCATGGTTCGGAAAATGCTAATTTAGAGGATTATTTTTTGAAGGAATAAATGGTTCCCTGGTCATTTGTTCACTAACTCAGCAGAGCAAGCATTTTTTCCAGGCGGTGTTTGAAGTGCTTGCAGTGGACAAAGAGAGTTAGACACCACCCTGCCCTTATAATCAATTACTTGTGCTTATTTAACCTTAAAGTTCAGTTAAAATAGAGTAAAATATATAGACGTGTGAATTTTTCATTAATTTCTATCCTTTCTGGCTCCTGCTTTGATTACTGAGTATTGCTAGATATGTTTGTAGAGGTTTCTGTGCCTTGACCTTTTTACTTATCTATCTGTTCATAATCATTAGTCATAGTCTGTTTATGACATTTTAACTGTTTCTGTGGAAACAACATTCAGTGCCTCGCAGAGAAGCAAGAACATTCTAATTTTTTAAAAAATTGAAGTTTGGTGGTAGTGATAGGAAGAAAGCATGTGATCAAGAGAAAACAAAAAATATTAATTTGCATCAGGAGTAATGGTTTCAAATTTTTCTGATTTGGATAAATTAGAGCCTTACTTTAAGGGCTGCATTACAATAAAAAGAAACTGCTGATGAATGCAACTACATGGATAAATCTCAAAAAACATGAACCTAAGTGAAAAAAGGCAGACATATTTTATGGTTCCATTTACATGAAATTCTAGGAAAGGCAAAATGGTGCACATGGAAAGCAGGCCCGTGACGATGTGCAGCTGACAGGGGGCAAAGGTTGACTGCAGGTGGCCAGGGGCGGCCTTTCTGGTGTGATGTAAGAGTTCTAGGACTTGGAGGATGGTGGTAGTCGCACGGCTGTATAAATTACTAAAACTCATGTTTGAACTGCATGCTTAAACTGTGTGAATTTTATGCTATGTAAAGTTGCTTCAATGTGGCTGTTATAAACAAACACAGATGTGTAGTAATGGGCTTTGTTCTTTTCCTGTTCAGGTAGTTATCTGCAAGAAGCTTTCTAAAAGGCTGGTAGAATTTCCACTGCTGGCCGCCTGGTACCAGAGGGTTCAGGAGGTGCCAGGGGTGAAAACAGCAGCTTCCCGCTGTGGGATCCAGTTTCTCCACTTACCGGAGTTGCCGACCACCTCCATCGAACAGCATCCAAAATTCAGCGAGGCCGCAGGAGCAGAGGAGCACAGCGACCCTTCGTTTATAGGAGGCCCAAGACCCACTATGACCAAGTTAATGGTACTTAAATTGTTTTCGTTAACATTTGCTTTGAAAAATTCCATGTGATGATGTTGCCAAACGTTCCACCCCGACTTGTAATCATTTGTTGACATTGTTTTTGTTATAAATTTTATTCATAAATTTTATTCGTAGCTATCTTATATCACTCTTGACCAATTAATATTTCTGCTAGTCTTTTGCATTTAAGTGAAATATAGTAAATTGAAAACTTTTAGCATTATGTGTCTTTGGAGCCAAATAAGTCAGAATATGTATTTTTAAAAAGTATTTTTCTCAAAACTTTTTTTTTTGAGGAAGATTAGCCATGAACTAACATCCCCCGCCAATCCTTCCTCTTTTTGCTGAGAAAGATTGTTGTTGAGCTAACATCTGTGCCCGTCTTCCTCTGTTTTATGTGGGATGCCGCCACAGTGTGGCTTGATAAGTGGTGTGTATGTCCATACCTGGGATCTGAACCGGCGAACCCCAGGCCGCCAAAGCAGAGCATGCGAACTTAACCATTACACCACCAGGCTGGCACCTAAAAACTTTGTTTTTATATTCAAGACACCAAAGTCATATTACATCTAGTCAGGTTTATTCTTTTAACCTGATGTTTTTCTGTTTCAAAGATTTGGTCTCAGTTCTTTAATTTTGAGATGATGATTTAAATTAAAGAAATATGAAGATGAATATTTCAATTTATTTCCCAGAGTTTTGTCTAAATTTTAAGATTTTTAATTGTTTGAATTTTCATTATTCTTTGATTTTAATGCTTTTTTATGATTTATTTTTCTCTCTTTGCAGCATAATTTGTTTCTAATAGTACCAATTGTAAAAATTTTCACCAACAGGCTTGCTTTCCTCTACCATTCAAAACAATCTACAAAAATGTTTTGCTTTTAGACTCTTTGAAGATTTATTTGAATAGAGAATTGATAAAGTAATTTGGGCTATTCATCTGAGTTATACTGGAAAACTATTCATTGTATTTTCCTACTTGGCTTAGGAAGCATTTGAGTTCTATAGTTAACAGCAAGTTTGCTGATTTAGAAAAGAACAAGGTGTTAGTAGTAACACCACCCCTCAGCTCTTCAGCTCAGCCTTGTCAGCCAAGTGAGGAAACAGTGAAACGGGATGAGATAGCTGATTTTGGAAGATAACCGAAGCACGTCCAGAGTCTGATGTGTCTGATCAGACAGTTAATTGTGCAGGGACCTCTCGTTCATCTCCTGAGTGTTTTTAAATAATCAGGAGAGTAATCTGCTTTGTATCAAATACTAATTTTTAAAATTTCAACAAACCAGAAATCTGTGCTTGTAATTCACACTTGTGCAGTCTTGCAGGAAAGATTGGTAATTCAGATTTTTCTACCTCTACTTTTCCAGCAATAAAATAACATTAGGAAAGACATTTGCATATATACATTTAAAAATATTTATGAACAAAGAAAAATAACTAAAATTCAAATTTGGAAAAAGTCAGTAAGTAATGTAAAAATAAACCCTTTTGTAATAATATAAAAGATATAGAAGAATCCTGAATTTTTAAATTTAATGGGTTATGTTATGTCTTCCAAGAAGCAGACCCCAAGATGGAGTTAGGTGTGCAAGAGGTCTACTGAGGGAAACAACTGTGAGGGACATGGGGAGGGAGCCAGAGGAGGCTGGGAGAGCCTTAGGCCGTGATGCTGGTTTGACCCCTGTGCTTGAGACAGGAAGGGAAGGAAGTTTGGGCCAGAAAAGTCTTTGGCTTCAGTGCAGCTCTAGGGAAGTTTTGACAAGCCAGTGGAGAATCCTTGAGCTGGAATCATCTGTCAGAGAGTTCCACATTTTTCAGGAATGGGTCCACCTTAGCCTCTCTGCCACTCTCAGTCGCTGGCTTGGGAACAGTTGGTGGGAACACTATGCTAGGGACTGGGTGCTGGGTTCTACTCCCAGCTTTGTAGCTAAGCTAATGTTGCCTTCAGTAAGTCATTGAACCGAAGGATCTTGATCTCTCCATTTATAAGTTAGGAGAGTGTGCTAGACGTTCTGTATGATTGACTTCTGATTTTAAAGCTTATGGTTGTATGAAAGTTGACTGGCACATTACATCCACAATTTTTTTAAAAAGCAATGTTCAAGTCTGAAAATAAGTTCAAATCTCAATTTTCATTTAATTTAACTTGATAGTATATATTAGATACAATAATTTTCCTTTTTAACAGGGCATTGTTTTTGCCACTGACTAGTGAATTTCTCTATTGATAAATATTTTGAAAGACAACAAATCTTATATCATTAATATATTATGTTAATGTATTAACTTTGTTTATACTGTAACTTTTCATTTCTATATAATCACAGTATTTTCTGCCAATTACATGAGGACAGATGAAATTGGTGCTAAGTGGATGTGTAAAATAGGAAAGTTTTTCTTAGGAATACTCACATCTCACCTATTTTTCTGTTCTGTTTTCTTTGGCACAATCTTGCCTCCAAAATTTCCCTTATTCTCCAGAGGTTTTAAATTTATTTATTCATTCAGCTGTTAAAAAAATGTCCATGTGTCTCCTGAACCCCAGACATTGTTCTGAAAGTTGGATACATGAAGGACAAATTGGACTGCCCTCATAGAGCTTAGATTTGGGGGGCAGTAAATAAAGAGAAAACATAAGTAAATGTGTAGCACATTAGATAGTGATAAGTGCTGTAAAAAAAATACCGTGGGATGAGGGGTGGAGGTGATGGAGGTCGGATCCCTTTTAGACAGGGTGGTAAGGAAGGCTTGTCTGACGAGGGGAAGACATTGAGCAGATAAGCTGAATGGACATTTGAAGATTTGGAGGAGTGTCTAGATAGTAGAGGGTCAAGCTGCAAAAAGACTCTGAGCAAATGGATAGAGACAGAAAGTAGATCAGTAGTTGTCTAGGGCAGGGAGCTGAGGGGAGAGTGGACAGTGTCTGCTAATGGGTATGGGGCATCTTTTCAAGGGGATAAAAATGTCAAATTAGTGGCAATGGTTGCACAACCATGAATATTCTAAAAACCATTGAATTATATGCTTTAAGTGGGTAAATTTTATGGCAGATAAATTATATCTCAATAAAGTTGTGTTTTTAAAAAGACCCTAAGATAGGAATGAGTTTGGTGGAATGAAGAACAGCAAGAAGTTCAGTCTAGCTAGGCTAAAATAAGGGAGGCAGAGAGGTAGATGACGTCAGAGAGAGGTGTGCATCTTTCTGGATGCGACTAACAGCATTCGACATCTTTGCCTGTAGATATGTCTCTGCCCCAACACAAAAATCTTTATGCTATTTCCTTTGGGACTGTGTTCAGCTGGTTTTCATAATGGAAACTAACCTCGTGAACTAACTGATACGAGGGGTTAATGATAGATTCTCAGGGGTTTTTCTTTTGAATAGGCTATTCCTAAAGATAAAAACACCTGAACCGTGGATATTTATCCCGTGGGCTGTAAACAAAGAATGTGATTGGAAGGGATCTGGGAATCCAAGTGCGAGCCATGCCTCTGTCTGGAGATCAAATAAATAAATGTGCAACTCGTAACATGGGGAAGGTTTTTATGTGTTGAAAAGTCATAATTTTTGAAAATGTTGGGAACCATTTGGTTAAAACAAAGGCACCCTTTTCTAGAGACGTTGCAGGCCCTTGTGAAAGCCTGGTGTGGATGAGGTTTGGGTGCATGTTGAAGCGGCCTGTCTGGTCCTCTGTGTGTGCCTCCTGGGCTGTGGCAGTCCTCACGTGTAAAGACAGACCTTGATGGACGTGTGTGGAGTCAGCTTTTGATTATGTGGATTGTTTTCGGTAAAACTCTTATCCTCAGGTGACTTTTCTCTTTGATGCCTAGTATATTTCTAGGTAGCTTATTACTTCTGTGTAGTTTCAGGTAGCATTTAAAAATAGCATTACTTTTTATCATCTCAGTATAAAAAATAATAGAAAAGTAGCTGTGCTGTCAAAAACTCAACATATCATGTTTCTTGTGCAACTAAATATGTTGAGGAATGCCCGATGATTGTTAACATTTATCTTCCTTCTCACCAGTATAGAAAATAGAAATTTGGCCTTCTGCAATGTAACAGGACTTTATTAATTCATTCATTTGGAAAGGGCCTCTTTCCTTTTCTAGGAAAAGGGCATCGAAGTGATGTTTTCTCCCCACCCTTGCCCTGCTTGGACACTTGACTGGAATAGACTTCCTGCAGCAGTGAGCCCAAAAGAAGGTGAGTATTTTTTCTCCTTGAAATCTTACTCATTACCTGGATACCCTCTTCAGATCCATCTTCCAGTTCTCTGTTTCTCTCTTTGGCCGTATGTAATATTTTGATTATGTTATCCATTGAGTTTTCATTATAAAAATTTTATGTATACAGGTTACTCGTATTTTCCACACGTTCCTACATTTGCTTCATCTGTTGCCTTTTTTCTTTGCTGAAGTACCTTGAAGCACATTCCAAATAATGTGACACTATAGTACATACATCTAAAAAATATTGACATCTTAAATAATCACCATGTGATTATCACACTTAATAAAAATTAACAAAAATTCCTTGATCTTCTAATAACCAGTCCATAGTCATTTCCCCCTATTGTTTGAAAAAATATTTTCATAGTTATCTTTTTAGTTAAATAATTATATTTTTCATTGTTAGAAGTTATATTTTGTTTGATAATAACCTTTTCCTTGCTTGTTTCAGTTTCCTCCTTTTATAAGTTTTTAAAGATGATTATTTTGTATTCCGTATTTGTTGTTTCTAATAACTGATGTCCATAAGGATCTAGTTCTGCTGTTTGTTTTTTCTGTTGACTTCCCTCCTGGTGTCTTATTTTCCTGTTATTTTTGTAATTTTAGATTGTGAATTCATTTTGGGGCTACCTAAATCTGTGAATCTTGTGGGGCCTGGGTTAGGAGTGATTCCCGTGGAAAGGATCTATGTTTGCTTCTGCCAGCATCTCAAAGTGCTAGAACTTGAGGCCATTGAACATCAGTCTTTCAGCTTGAGATCTGACAGCCTTTCTGCCTGGAGCCGAGGTTTGAACAAACCAGTCACCTTCTATCATCTTCCTTTGCTGTAGAGTAGGACTTTTTGTTTTAATGTATCTTTTCATAGGGAGTATAGCTTTTTGAGTTTTCTGCATGCAGATAGTGGTATTAGTTCCAGCTCTCCTCCGTGTGAGGGATCAAGGACTAGCCTCTCTTCTTTGTCTTGCTGTTAAACCCAAGATCTCTATTATTAGCAGATACCCTCCCGGCAGCTGTGGTGTCATTTCAGGCTTATTAACTGCTTTTCAGCTTCTTTTCTCCTTTTTAAGGCCCTATGGATTTTCCTTACTCTCAGAAATCCATTTAGACATGTAAAGGATGACTGTTGAATTTTAAATACCATTTTAGATGTTTTTAGGTGGAGAACTTTTTTTATAGCTTGATGTTCCATATCTTTAATTGTTCATCTATTCTTTAGTTTTATACTAAGCCGGGTATAACTTCTTATTTCCAAAACTCTTTGAAATCGCTTGCCTTCCTTTTTGATACTCTCGTCTTCGCTGATTCTTCCTGTTCTATTCTATTCTGTCAATCAAGAGAATAATTTAGGATTCTTCCAGAATGGAAGAAGATTAAGTTGGGCAGTTAAGAACTCTGCCTCAAAGATATTTTATAAAAATGAAATTTTTTTTTTTGGTCTTTAATTAAATATATGAAAGATGGTCACTAATGAATTTGTTAGTGTTTTAATTTTAAATATTTTCTGAAATTTTGAAAAATTTAAATGTTTTTATTGTATTTGCAATTGGATTTTTTGTATACTCTTCAGTTTTAGTGTACATTTCGAACAGGTTAAAACTATAGTTTAATAAATAAAAATCGAGTTTTCATTAATATTTATATTTATCAAGAAATGTTTATGGAGTTTTTTAAGTTCCACATGTTATGCTTCATCCATAATTAATTTACTCTCAGGCCAAAATAGTATTTTCACTTATTAATTGAGCAGTAGTTACTTCTGCTCCCAACTCAGAGATCTGACATTAAGCATTTGCGTCTGGTCGTTTTACGGGTTAGAAGTGCGTATCTCACAGCGTTCGAGGAATATCTTCCTCATTATATCCCTTGAATTGGATCACCTTGTTTTCATGAATTTCATAAATATGACAGTTAAGGAGTTATGTATAACAGCAGAGCTACATGGTTTGCTCACATTTCACTCACTGTTTCTTGAAAAGTTTGTAGTCTTTGTTAAACTAAGGCAGAATTGTGGCATTTTAAACTTTCTGTTTTCAATTCTAGCAATTTCAATATCGCATGGTAGTAGAATCTTTGTGAAATGAAATTATTATGCATAAGGGTGTGGAGTGTTCTCATGATTCGTGTTCTGGTACTGCCTTTTAGGAGAGACTGAATTGTAATAAGATTTTATTGGTACTTGGTTCGTTTAGATATTGCAAAGACTAACTCCTTATTCTGAATCCACTAAGTTACCACCATCAAGACTGCACCATCCACCATCAAGATGGTGGTGCATATTATAAGAATTATCCTCTTGACTAGGAAAGGCTGTATTAATCCTCGTGATGGAGTCTGCTGTATGTCTTAGCCTATCTGATCTTCCACTCTCTGCTCTTATCTGTTCCTCTCGCCACACCTTACATACCCTTCCCTGAACTTTTCCATTTCCTTATACAGCCTGTGCTTACTATCTCCATGCCTTCACTTTTTGTTCCTCCAGTCTGGACTATTCTTCCTCCTACTTCCCCTTCTGTTGAAATTATACCCATCTCTTAAGGATAACGCAAACACTGCTCCCTTCATTAAGCCTGCTGCATGGGCTGTGGAGTCAGCCTGCCTGATGTGAAGCCTCGGCTGCTAACTCACTAAGTTACCTATGGCCAGACTCTCAACTTCTCTGTGCCTCAATTACTTATCTCTAGAATAGGGTAATAATAGTACTGACCTTATGAGATTGTTGGTGCCTTCAGTGAATGAACATGTAAAGCGCTTAGTACAGTGCCTAGTAAATAGTAAATGTTAAATAATACTAGAATACTAGTCAGAGTTACCCACCACTCAACATTGCTTTAGTACTTTCTTACACTTCCTTTTTGGCACCTGTAGTGTAATTGTTCAAGTGCATGTTCCCCTTGTCCAGTGTCGGACTCTTGAGTGTGAGGCCTTGTAGATGGACTCTCAGCCACTTTGTATTGAGTTGAACCAAACTGAGGCTATGGATCCTTTTTTAACTTATTAAATTTCTACATAAACCTCGCAATGTTTTGAATTCTTTTATCTCTTATAGACTTAGGAGGCTAAAACAATTGAGATTATTTACTTTGAAGAAAGAGAACTGAACATTTAATTTACATCCTTATTGTTGTTGTTGTTATCATTGTGTTTTTTATGGACTGTTTAGGAATAAGTTGCAGACATCATGCTGCCTTAGTTCTAAAAACTTAACTATCTCCTTTAAGAACAAGAGCATTTTCTTATGTACCCGTAGTCCAATGGTCAAAGCAGGGTATTTAATTCAGTGCATACTGTTATTAATCTGTGGTCCAATCAGTTGGGTTACGTTTGACTGCCGGGTCTCTTTAGTTTCCATCGATGTGGAACACTCTCTCAGCCTTTCTTTGTCTTTCAGAACATGGATTTTTTGAAGCAGTCAGGCCAGTTTTTTGTAGCATCTCTCTCGATTTGGATTTATCTGTTTCCTCCTGGTTAGATTTAAGTAGCACATTTTTTGCAGGAGGACCACAGGCATGACCCCTTGTCCTTCTCAGTGCGTTGCATCAGGAGGCACGTTACGTCAGCTTGGGCCCAGGGATGCTGACTTTAACCATTTGCTTAAGGTGGTGTCTGCGACGTGGCTCTACTGTCATGTTACTATTTTGCTCTATTGAATTAATAGATAGTTTGTGGGGAAATAATTTGTGACTACATAATAGCTTATTTCTTTTCAAAGTTTCACTCACTAGTTTACATTCATTTGTTGCAAAATGGTGATTTTCTTCAGCTCCATCGTCTTTTCATATTTATCAGTTTCCACTCTACTGTAAGAAAGTTTTTCCTATTCAAATGCTTATTTATTGTGAGTATTGATGCTGAATTTTTATCTTATTGCATAAGTTATGATCCATCACTGTCACTATTATTTCAGTGCTCACGTTGTCCCAGATTGTGAGTCTCTTCAAGCTGGCTCTGATCCTTTGGAAATGACCAGACATTTTATGACTACTTCCTAAATTTCTGGCATAACAAAATATACGGGCTCATTTGGTCATTTCCCTGCCCCAGCCCTAAAATCAGCCGTTTCTGCAAGAAGCCCTGGTTCCTTTTAGGAATAGTGTTTAGAAACAGATTTGGGCACTTGGCGTATGACAGATGTGTGAGGGAATAGATGTGCGTATACACACATGTGTGTACACACACATCAGTATCTACTGCTGTATCTACCGATGTGTCTGTTACCTATGTATATATTGAAAACCATGAGTTTATACTGATAGCTCTAATTCCAATCCAACACCACAAGATTCTTTGTAGTTCTTCTGAATTCAGTATCTGTATCTACCTTTGCTAACAGTAAAAATCATAGCTCCCATCACCTATGTGTTTGCTCCTTTGTTCAGTCCTACACTATATGACAGTAATTTCAGAATTGCTGTGCCCATACCTCTGAAAAATACACCTACTGAGTTGAATTCCAGATTGTTGCAGTTGTTTTCATCTTTGAGGGTATATGGTGAAATTCTCATGCATCTAATGAGATGGTTCTATATAAGAAGAATTATAAAAAATGAGGAATGGAAGGTTTAAGGTAGTGTTAGTTGCATTCCCTGATAGAAAATATTCAACCAACAGCATCCTACTGCACTGAGAAGATTCAGGCAGCTGTGTGCTCTCTGTTCCTATTCACCTTCAAGTAAGTGCTTTCCTACTTTGATGAACTCCGATCAACACTGTGTGAGCCGAGGACTCTTCCTTTTGTTCAGTCCAGCGGCACCTCTGTTCTTGCCCTCTGCGTCTTTGCCCTCTGACTGTGAGGGAGGGAATGGATATAGTCTTTTGCCTTGAGACCTAGAATAGAGCTGCCCTAAGCCACTCACTCCATGCAGTATTTCCCTGTGCCCTCTCTGTTCTCCAGTGGGTTTTAGCTGATTTTTGTAGGCTTTAGGTTCCTATATTACCGGTTACTCCTATGAATAACCATACCAGTCATATGGGAAG